AGAGTGTTTTTAGTTTTGTAAGAAACTTACAAAGTATTCTCCAATGTGGCTGTACCATTTTGTACTCCCACCAGCAATGAATGATAATTCCTAATGCTCCACCTCTTCGTCAGCATTTAGTGCTGTCAGTGTTCTGGATTTGGGCCACTCTAATAGGTGTGTAGTGGTACCTCATTGTTGTTTTAATTTGTATTTCCCCCATGACTTATGGTGTGGAGCATGTTCTCATATACTGTTTTTCACCTGAGGATATTCTTTCTTGAGATGTCTGTTCAAGTCTTTGGCTCTTTTTTTTTTTTTTTTTAAAATAAGGTTGTTTATGTTTTTACTGTTGAATTTTAAGCATTCTTTGTGTATTTTGGATAATATTCCTTTATCTGTCTTTTGAAAAATACTCTCTCCCAGTCTGTGTATTTTGTCTTTTCAATCTCTTGACAGTGTCTTTTGCAGAGGATTTTAAAATTTTTCATATGTAGCCAGGTGCAGCGGCGCACACCTGTAATCCCAGCAGCTCGGGAGGCTGAGACACGAGAATCAGGAGTTCAAAGCCAGCCTCAGCAATGGCGAGGCAGTGCTAAGCAACTCAGTGAGATCCTGTCTCTAAATAAAATACAAAATAGGCCTGGGGATATGGCTCAGTGGTCGAGTGTGCCTGAGTTCAATCCCTGGTACCAAAATAAATAAATAAATAATAAAAATTTTCATAAAGTCCAGCTAGTCACTTGTTTCTTTTATTGTGTCTTTGGTGTTGGATCTATCTAAAAAAAATTATTACCAAACCCAAGGTCATCCAGATTTTCTTCTATCTTAGCTCTAGAAGTTTTATAGTTTTCCATTTTACAATTAGGTCTGTGATTCACTTTGAGTTGGTTAGGGTCTGTGCCTCTGCTTATTTCTATTATTATTTTATCTTTGCATGTGGATGTCTAGTTGCTCCAAAAGACAATTTTTGCTACATTGTATTTTGATATCTTTTCTTCTTTGTCAAACAGCAATTGGCTACTGTGGCTCTATAGTCCATTGATCTATCTATTCTTTCAATATAGTATTTCTTAAGTTGTATGGTGTCAGTCTTCCAACTTTGTTCTTCTTCAATATTGTGCCAGCTATTCTGGGCCTTCTGCTCTCAATATAAAACTTAGAATCAGTTTGTTGATAAACACAAAACAACTAGCTGGGACTGAGTCTATAGATCATCAAGTTGGGAAGAATGGATATCTTAATAATATGGAGTCTTCCTACTAGTGAATATGAAATATCTTGCTTGCCATTTATTTGGTTTATTTCTTAATCAGAGTTTTGCAGTTTTCCTCCTGTAGATCTTGTAAATATTTTTTTAGACTTTTAAATACATACAGTATTTCACTTTTAGTGTTTGCTAATGTGAATTGTCTTGTGTTTAAATATCAAATTCTACTCCTTCATTGCTGGTACATAGGAAAGTGATTGACTTCTTTGTATTTTTGACCTTGTATTCTGAAGCCTGACTTTTCCTTTTTTTAAGCAGTGGCCAGAGTCACCTTGTCCTCCTCCCTGTCCCAAATCATTGCTTAGCATCAATGGGAGTATTCCTTGCTGAGCCCCACTCTTATCCTAAAAGAGTCAAGTCTTATCCTAAAAGAGTCAAACTTTCTCTAATCTGGAAGTGGAGGTGCAGACATTAACAAAAAATGCTCATTATCTAATGAGGGACTGTGGATCCTTTTGCCACAAAAATGTTCCTACGTGACCACATAGTGGTACAAAAAAATGGGAGGATGGTACTGAAAATAAGAATTACAGAACCATTTCCATTTTTCCTTCTCCTGGAGAAAGAAAACTGTAGACAGGGAAAAATAGAAAAGAGATGCTTTATTGAAATGACATAGGAAAAAAAATTATACCTAGGAAACTCTTTTTCCCCTGAAAAGTCAAAACCCACAAAGGTTTGATCAAAATAAAGATCTCCTTTGTCTGAAAATCCTGGTGTGCAGCCCTGGGCTCATGCTGTTTGTTTGGTACCATGGAAACACACTGTGGACAGCAGCAGATAAAAGCATGTCAGGGAAGAGACCAAAGGGCAGGTCTGATGTTTTCCTCACAAGACAGACAAAAAATAATCCTGATTGGTATTTGCTACGGAAAACACTAAACTCCTTAAAAACAAGAAACGCTTTCCTCCAGGGACCCTAAACGTTCTCTAAAAAGAATTCATAGATTTTTTAGTCATCCTTTAATTATAGATTCCACAGGTTTTTATTTTTGAGTGGAGTTCATATTATCAGGGGGGAACAGGGATATACAGACTGAAAACAATGTACAGACCACACAGAGAAAATGAGCAATAACTCAATATACTGAAGGTTTATAAAGACCTTGAGGCAAGAACCCCAAGACCCCTGGCTTTAAACCTATTCACGCATAGTCCAGCGGTTCTCAAGACTGGTGTTTATGGAACTAGGTGGTATCAAGGAGCTGTTAAGCTTTGAGAATTATTTATGTTTTCCATTTGAAAGGAAATAGCTGATGTTGTTTTTTTTTTTTTTTTAAAAGAGAGAGAGTGAGAGAGGAGAGACAGAGAGAGAGAAATTTTTTAATATTTATTTTTTAGTTCTCGGCGGACACAACATCTTTGTTGGTATGTGGTGCTGAGGATCGAACCCGGGCCGCACGCATGCCAGGCGAGCGCGCTACCGCTGAGCCACATCTCCAGCCCTGATGTTGTTTATATTAAAAAGGTCTCAAATGTTTTCTCTTCCAAAACATAGCTTTTGGAATGATTTTGTGCAAAGTAGTTAAGTCAAGGTTATCAATTTTCCTCACATAAATTCCCATTAAGTTATAGAAAAGGTGGGGATGTAACTTTTCCCTGCTTCTGAAGCACATTTTCCCTATTGTTGATACGTTTGGGGTAATTGACGGCTATCAACTTAAGGGTAATGATCTGATTCCCCTCATTTCTATCAATACACCAAGGGTAACTGTGGGTCTAGGTGTTCAGTACATAGCTCCACACTAAGATACACAAATAGGAAATGGAACAGATTGTGGGATGGAATAAAATATCTGACATGTGGATGAGTCTCTCCTATCTGAATGTCAGCTTCAGAGAACAATGTGGTCTTTGGATACTATATAGCTATCCAGTGACTTGGTGGAAAATAAGATGGTCAACAGTTTTTAAGAACATTGTGGGTCTATTCCAAAGATCAAAAGGATTAATGTATGGAGCACTTGGGCAGTTTCTTTTTAGCTTGGCTTGACTTCAAGCTGGGTTGAGAGTGGCTACACAGCAGAATGATGTAGGACCAATGGAAAACCCCCAACTTCCAAAGCATAGTTATAAACACATTTCTTGATCTGTTCAGGTGACAGTTCCCAATTAACTTATAGCAAAAATTAATTTTTAAAAAGGAAATGCTTCAAAATCTAAAAAAGCTTTTCATTCTGGTGACTATAAATTATTTTCTATACTCCCAGCAGAATAATTCCACCAGTAGTCCCACCATACGCAACACAAAACCATTCAATTCACACATAAGACAAGAGGTAGTTTATGATAGCCCGGATGTACTGATTGCTGCCCCAGTTGAAAAATGACACTCTTCTGGACCCAGTATGTACAAGATTAAAGATATGTGTTTCTGATTTAGTGAAAAATTTCCAATATTTAAATTCAATTGTGGAACGTACAAAGAAGTTAGGTGATGGTATTTTAATAATTCATAGAAAGCATATACGTACACCCAATGAAGTCATCTTTATTGCATATTGCTATTTAAAAAAATGTACAGTCTCATAACACATACAACATTTTTTTTCTTGGTACTGTAACAACAGTCTTGCACCTAGAGACTAAGTGGTTCCAACTACTAAGCTAATAAGATACAAGACATATAGTTAAGTTTACAAATTATAATGCTTTTTCTTTTTGGCATTAATTTAAAAAAAACAAACAAAAACTTTAAAATACACACCCAAGAGAGAAAAGTGGCTACTTTACACCAGCACCAATCTAAAAAGTAGTTTTTTTTTGTTTTGTTTTTGTTTTGTTTTCAACAATGGCACATGGAATTACCTGCACACAGTTTTCAGGGAAAGAAACCAAAAAATGGAAATGGCAAAGGAGGCCTACCAGGATGGCCATGACAAAATGAGGATGATTATCAAGGGCAAGAGGGACATGCTACACAAACTTGCTCCTTTTGTGACTCTCCTTCCACTAGTTCATTCCTTAAACTATAAGACAAAGCCATTTTCAAAGTACAGTTCCAAAATTGAGCCAGACCAAATTTCTCCTACTATAAATAGAAAAAAAATATACATAGAGGCACTTTAGTTAAGGAACAGAGAAAACCATCATCCTATGCCACTCCCCCTCCTCTCCAAGCCTGTTTGAGCCTAGTCTCCAACTGCACCTTTAACATGGTGTAGTTGCAGACCTTGGTTAACTAGGAGCTGGGGGAGTGTAACCTCTGCTTTGTATTTATAACTGTCATTTGCAAGAGTCATTTGCTTCCATCGAATGGGTGGAAAGTCGCTAAGTTTGCAATGAGGAAAAAATGTAAAACCACAGCTCTTGACAACTCTTAGAGCATTATTTCACAGCTTTCGTACAGCACAGATACTTTGCCATCTGCACTAAGCATTGTAGTTTGGACAAATCATTTTTAAATAGTATGAGTCCTGTACAGCACGCACATTGATTTTTTTTATTCATCCCTGAATATTCTGATTAGAACGTAAGTTCCTTGTGGGCAGGGACTCTGTCTTGCTCATCACTGTAGATCTACTATGCCTGGTACATAGTAGATACTTAATAAATATTTGTTAGTTGACTGAAGAACTCAATTTAGTGAGTAAATAATGTTCTAGTGCAACAGGAAAAACTACTCTCTCCACAGGAAACCCAACCACGACAGGATAGATAGAAAGAAAAGAGAAAACGTCAGCCCCACCCCACCTCCCGCCCCACTACAAATAAATAAAGCAAAAAAAAAAAAAAAAGTAACAGTCCTCTTTATATATCATATAATTTAAGGATATTGAAAGTTGGTAGGTTAATGGTAAGCATCTATATTTTATTTTCTAATGTTCATTGTTTTTATTCATTTCTCCCTGAGAGCTTTATTTTTTTGGACTGAAATTTTACAGGTAGCTTTACTGACACACAATTTAAAATGACAACATATAACAGCAAACCACTTTAAATATACTCAGAGATAAATAGATCTGGGAATCTCTACTGATGTTGATATTTTGTGACACTCTAAGTGTCCTTTAGTCCAGACCTATATTTACAGAAGATGCAGGTTGTCCTACAAAACAGAAATAGAAAAGACAAAAAAAAAAGGCACCCCATTAAAAWTTTTTTTTAAAAAAATCTTTATCCTTTCAGAGAATTCTTCCTTTAAGTCTTGGGTGGAAATTTCTAAGATTTATATATCTATATTGTTAGAACAACAGGTACATTCTGGCAATCTTGTTCATTAACAAGGGCATGGATTGCATTTAGATACTGCTTGTTTTTTGTTTTTTTTTTTTGTTTTGTTTTGTTTTTTTTACCCAAAAGCAATTTAAAGAAATCATCAAGAGCACTTGGCAGAAAACTTGATGAAATTGGGGGAGAAACTGATGTTTAAGCTTTAAATATACAAAAGAATTTTGATTGACATTCTACATAATACAAATTGTGTGCAAGATGTTCTTGATAAACATTTACAGACTGTATCCCCAAATCAACATCAGGAATTTTAAGCTGATCCCATCAATTACTGATGTGATGCTGGAACACCACATTGTCAACTATCAAAAACCATTTTAAATCTATATTCTTCCAACTCCATTTTCACCAATGAAAATAATTTTAAAGTATAGCAAGCTTGGAAACTGGAAAATATTTCACAAGCTTTTTTTTTTTTTCTTTTTTCTTTTTTTTATACTAGGGAATGTCTGTCATCTCTTTTAGGAGATAGTTTTGTGCTTCTGAACAGTTACGGTGTTCAGGGAAAGAAAATGAGCCACACTCAATATGAATGCATATGCAAAGGGTTTCTGAGCACGAATGTTAACAGAAAATTTTTATCCATACATAGAGGTCTCCAGAYGACACTCAGACTTCTATATACATTTTTAATATACATATACACATACATTTACATACACACACATCCACACACACTCACAGATGAAGGAGGAAATTGCCACTGTTTGGATTGCAAGGCAGTGTAATGGAACGGTCTAGTCACTTCAAAGGGCTGCTACTGAGCTTTTTAGAAAAGTACTTGAGGAAAATTAAAAATTAAGTTTTGTGACCGGTCTCTCTCGGCTGCTGTCTGTCACCTGGTTGGAAATGCGTTTGCGATTCCGTTTTAGTTTAGAAAGGTCTTTGTCAAACACTTCTCCTGAGCGTAAAGCTGAAACGAGGTCATCAAACTCTCCGCTTTCCTCGCTATTCTCTTTAGCTTTTCTTATTTTCCGCTCCCTTTCCCTTTGTTCTTTGAGCTGCAAATAGAAAGAGATACCTTTTAGGGAAGGATTAAGATGTTGTATTTAAAAAAAAATAATAATAAGATGTTGTATTTTGTTTTTGGTGGGGATGAAGTCTGTGACATATGGTAGTGATTTAGTCACACCAAGCTCTGTTCACTTAAGCTGCTAAACTCTCCGGATGACACAAGAAAGGAGTAACTGGGACATGCATAAGATCTGATCGCAGAAATATTATGAATGGTGAAAAAAAAAAAGGACCCTCACCATCTAGATTCTAGGAAAATCTCATTATATATTCTTGTTTATAAAAGAATAATTAGGCAATTCGTGTGTCTGAAATGGAAAAACAAAGTTTACACTATTAAATAGGACCCCCCACCCCAGGTCCTGCCCAACCCTGGTTTCTTGACGGTACAGAGACTAAAGCAAAACGACCATCAGGCCAAGCCTCCCATCCGTCGCCTGGTCTGCATCTGGCATTGATGTCTGGAACAGGTTGCTGTTATTAAAAGTCAAACAAAACACAGACAATATAGAAAATTTTGATAATTGAGATAAAAAGCATTCTTTATTTGGTTACCAACAGATAACCACTGCTACTGAGCTTTTTAGAAAAGTACTTTTTGGAGCTTTATACTACCACCGTAATTTTCTATGCTAATATTTATTTTACAAACAAAATACAACAAAAATGATTTCATGTGGAAATCATTTTGTAAGCTTTTCTGGATGATTAAATATTCTTTGAAGGCATGTCTTTTAAAAGACATAACAAATATTTTACTAAAGAGCTACTACACCAATGATTACATGATATTCTACAATATTTCACYATGTGGCTATTAGAACCAATGCCCTATTGGTAAATGTTAGATTGTTTTCAGTTTAGAACTAGTATTAAAAAAAAATTGCTGCTTTCTTTGTGCAAATTTGTGATTATTTCATTTTTAATTATTTTTTTTAGTTGTCAATGGACCTTTATTTAATCAATTTATTTATGTATCTATATGTGTGCTGAGGATTGAACCCAGTGCTTCACACATGCTAGGCAAGTGCTCCACCACTGAGCTACAACCCCAGGCCCAAATTTGTGATTATTTCCTTAGAGTAATTTCTAAGAAGTGGAGTTCCAGATCAAAGGATCTTGGATGTATTTTTTTTTTCTTTTTTAAGTTTTTGGAGATGTACCCTCAAATTGCCCAAGAGAAATCTGATAAAGTCCCAGGAACTTTCTAGAGAGCACAGCCATGCCCACCTTCTTGCCAGCCCAGTAAGGGCATCTAAAGAGCAAGGCAGCTGAGAACTTCTAGGGCTGGACCTGGTCGAGGATGCCCCTCACCTGTGCCTCCATKCGAGCTCGCCGCTCTTCCTCCTCCTTCCTCTTTCTCATGTTCTCATTCTCTTGCTTCGCTTCTGACACAGCTTGAAGGAACTGATCAAAAATGCCGAAGAACTCATCCGGCTGTATTTTGCCAGCCTCTTCCCCAAAGTGCTTCACTGCTTTGGTGAACTGGAGAAAAGAAGATTTTTAAGAAGCTCAGGGTGTTTTAAGAGAATTAAATGGAAATTTCCCTAGARGGACAAAAGCTCAAACAGAATCAAACATAACTTAACAGATTTTAGCAGGCCCATTTTACCTTCAGCAGCTGAACATGTCTGTGAATCCCTTCTAAAGTGAGAATTTTAACATGCCTCAAATTTGGAAACCATTTTATTCCTTTCCACCTCATTTCAGCTTCACATCTAAGACTACCTCCTATGACTTTTTATTAACTAAACAATAGTAAAAACAAGAAAGCAAAATATTGAAGGGCAGAACACCCAAGACACAAAAACTAATAGCAAGCTCAGCAGGGGTAGGAAACCTTGTACTTTTAACTTGTCTTTGAAGTAGTTTAATATCATTTATTGGTGCCATATGGTGAATATGGAAAGCAAATGGGATCCAGTACTTCTTAGCTGCTTTTCCTAATCATAAATAATGTTGGTATTGTTATAATATTTCCAGGGTCCTAATTAGAAAACAATAACTGATTATGGAGTCACTCCTGCAACCCCCATTTTTTTTTTAACCTCAGTATCAAAATGGAATGGTTTTAACATTCATTTGGCAGAATCATTACATCACTGGTTGCAACCTCTTACTTTTGACTGAGAAAAATAATTTTATTTCAACCCTTTATCCCAGAAAGCCTTTCAGTATCAAATCTTTCTAAAACTGCCAAAACGTAAAATATTAAGGGAAAACTTAAAAAATTTAAATTTAAATATATAGTTACAAAAGAAGAACATCTAGTTTCTTTTTAAAAGTTTCAACTGTTTCTCTTTTCAGTTCTTTCAGTAGTCCATAACTCAGGACAATCCACTTTCAACTGTCTGCATTATGATAACCACATTCAAGGCCAGTTGGGCAGTTTTTTCTGTAAGGGTCTGAGGCTTCTAGGCCTCAACTACCAAGGACAGTGCTCCCAGCTTCAAAGACAAATGAATTTTCTTTCTCTATGCCTAATCACTCACTTAAGATTTTTCAGACTTTATTTAGACCATGACAAATTTTTGAAGTTTGCTCAAACTCAAAAAAGTTTCTAATTGATTTTACTTGCCTTTATTATATTGCTGTTTTTCAGATATTTTGATAATACTATGGAGCTTAATGGGAACGTTTTCAATATTCTTAAAAAAGCCAATTTCAGCTAAAGTTATGCATCTATATAGATATAAATATTTACATGACATTTCATAATTAATATTTTAAAATTTATAGTATTTTAAAACCATTTTTCCTTTTTACTGTGGAGTTATTTTCAATATTTTACTTATATGGAAATTTTCTATTATTAAAAAGGGCCCTTTAGGGGAAAACATAACGTTCTTCACGCACCACATTATAGTGCTCTGGCTTGCTCCGTGGTTTTATAAGGTAATTTCTAAAAGTTCTGGTATGAACAAAATTGCAATAAACAGTCGACAACTGAGTTTCTAAAACATTTAAGTTCATGCACTTCAAAGCATCCTGAATGATCTTGTTATCTTTAGGAATTCTAGTGATGATGAAATCATATGTATTTTAGTCTCAGAAATCTGAAGGAAACTAGGGCTAGATTAAAGTCCCCTACCCCCAACACAAAGTAGGTTTCATAAGTGTGTGTGCCTATAAATGTGTTTAAATAAAAACAAACTATCCAGTTTTCTCTTATAAAAATGTTTGCGCTCCTGGAGGAGGTAGGTACTTTGCTGGGGTATCAGGGCAGGAGGTGATTCTTCCTTTAGAGTGCACCCTCCAAAGTGGTAGATCCCACAAAAAGTAGGAATGGAGGCTTTCACAGTGAAGGTTCAAACCAAGGTTGTTGCATCATTTGACTGATTTCCAGTGTGGGATATTAGAGGTTGGACCTCAGAAAGGAGCAGTCACTTGAACATATATAATCTTCTCATTTATTTCATGAGGCTGAAGAGTGAGTTTACTGTTGAGATTAGTTGGCACTTGTGAACACAGTCCACTTCTGAACTTGAACCAGTGTCTGTATACCCTTACGTGACCAATCATCCACACCCACAACTCAACAGGACCACAGAAAAATGACAGGAACTACTCAAGTTTGGAAGGAAAGATTGAAGTAAAAGAACAGCGTGGTGGCAAATGAGAGATGGGTCAAGCTGAAGAACTCCATGGCATATGGTAGGGGCTTAACATCACTTAAAAAAAATGAGAAGCGGAGAAAAACAGAATGTGTACCCGAGTATGTACATTAAAGAAGAAATAATTCGGGTGGGGGAGGGAGAGAGAACAAGGGTATTGAGGCTTACTTAAAAGTCTTGGTTAGCTGCAATGAAAACTTTCTCCACAGGAAAATAAAATTTGAAATAGCAAGAATCATAAAAAGAAATGTTTTGCTAAAACTAATAAACCAAAAACCAACAACAAAAACAACCACTTGTCATGAGACTGTGAACTAATATGCATCCAATTTAATGAGTTTTGCTGGTAGTGTCCTGTCTTCTTAAAGTTCTCCAACAAGTATATGCCTAAAGAGGTCTGAAGCATGTGGCCTTAGTTATACCTGCTCCTGTTCTTCATCTATTCTAGTTTCCAGAGATAAGCACATGAATCCAAAAGCAAGCAAGAGAAAAATGTCAGTATTTACTGTTTTTATACCATCAAAGCCTTCAAGATCTTGCTAACCTAAAGGTAACACAGACCATTTAGGCAACAAGGATGTGTTTCAATGAATTACAGTCCTAGAGATGAAAATCCACCCAAGCAATGAACAACAATGGAATCTGGAAAACAATTATCTGCTATTTTATTTCCTGAACCATGATATTTGGATCCCATTCCTGCTGTTCCCCAAAAAGCATCATATCTGAAAGTAACAAGTGAAAACCCAGCCCAGTCAAACAGTGTGCTAGAGGGAAATTTACCAGGTCTTTAGCTTCTGCTAGAAGATCTTCAACATCGGAGAAGCTGAAGCTGGCTAAGGTGATGAACTGGCTGACAACGGAAACAAACTTATCTCCAGGCTGCGAGGGCTGAGACTTCTGATATTCCAGTTCCTTAAACAAAGGAAATGGAGAATGATAACGTAGGCTTCAAATATAGGCACACTTTGTCTCTTATCCTATATTCCTCAAATTTAATCACTCAGCATGGACAACACATCTAAAATATCTTGTCATACTCTAGCTTCCCCTATCCTTGCTCACACCATGCCAGAGACAGGGCCCTGTACATGTGCATTTTATAAAACAGCAATTTAACCAATTATCTGAATATTTTCTCAGTGCTATCTCTTATTCTTACTTTAGAAGGTAAGCAAAAAACTAATAGAAGTTAAACAAATAACAAATAAGCAAATTGGATTCAAAGGGATTGTGAGTGAACGTAAGAGACTTTTGATATTCTGTACTCAGAGTTCTAGTGGCTTGTTTTTTTCTTTTTTCCTTTTCTGCCAAATCTATTTACTTCTTAAACCAGGGTATCTAGGTCAGTAGAATTCCAGTTGTAGAGTCAGACACCATAATCACCTACCATTTGTTTTCCTGTCCATACCATCAGGTTTTTGTGAATAGGCAGACAGAATAACTAGTTTCTTGTTAATTTTCTATATTCTCCATTAACATGTTAATGAACATACCGGTGATTCACACCAAATTTCAATAATTAATTTCTACCGTTGCAAGATACCCTTTCTTACTGAATGCCTACAGCACTTCCATGAGTAAGGCATCTTGATCCCCATCAAGTAGGTGCACCTACTGACTTAACTCGATCCCCTTATTTTATTTATTTATTTTTTTGGCACCTGGTTTAGCAAAGAGATTACGAAGCAGGAGTCACAGGCTGTGAATTCTGACTCAGCTTTCCCCATGGCAAGATGCTCTGGGCCTCAGTGGCTTCATTTTTCAAAGGAGGGGGGAATATCCACCTCAACTAGAGGATCAGTGAAATTTTAGAAAAGAAAACTTAAAAAGGTTGGAGCTGACTCTCACTGGAAGAAACTGACACCATTCTAGTACTCTGGCTGGAAAGTGTAAGTGCATGCTGGATATAGGGATGGGAAAGCCATCTCTGTGTGTTTCATTAATGTATTATTTTTAAAATTCCATCTCTGATATCTTTAAACAATATAATTATTTGGGCAATTAATTGCACAATTAGGACACATGAATATTTGGGCAGGGCACACTCTACCTCGCAGTGTTGTCTTTCGAGGCTACACCTTGACATTTAAGCTGCCAGGGGGAGCAGAAGGCTCCTTCAGCGCCTTTTCTATGCAGAATGTGATGTAGTACTTATGACCCAGAGGATGCAGAGACTCAGCAACACTCTCCCTTAAAAAATTCAAAACCAGGACTTCCTTGAAACATGGCCCCTCCATCTCCCTGGCCTTGGTCTGAGTTAATTCAAATGCAAGGGTCTGAAAGTCCATTATCAGGCTCAGGACTGTCAACTGCCATCCTAGTCTCCAGAAAGTTCCCATGGGGAGGAAAAAGCACCTGAGTGAAGGTTATTAAACATGCCTTGCCCAAAGTGCCCTGATCCAGCCTGGTCTTTCTCTGAAGGCTGGGGAGGACTGTCTATGTGTTCTACAACACAGGGGCTAAGAGAAAGAGTTTACTTTTAGCACCTCCAACCCTTGTCCTGCAAAACCCCAAACAACTCTTATATGCTCCTAAATTTATAAAAACAAAAATTTAGATGTTATGATTTTAACCTTTTATAAGTAGCATGCCTTAAATGAATTCAATATTCTCTATGGCATAATTTTGTGATTAAAAAAAAAAAGGAGGGAAGGTCTCTGTAGCATTGTGATAAATGATCTGCAAGATATTTAAGAGAGGGGCACCTTTCCAAGTTGCCTGGATCAGTCTCCTTCACCAAGTGCAGGCCAGAGCTAGGCGTCTTCTCCAAAGACAGCTTGCTAATGATCCCCCTTTGGCTGTCTGATTCCCATCCCTGGCCTTTCTTTYACTCAGAGGTAGCGCATTTGCACAGTAACCGCCTGGCGTTATGACATATTTCATTTCTCCCAATCCTCTCTGCCTGTGAGACCAGGTCCAGGTTGTCTCATGTAAACTGGCACAGCCTCCCTCTGTGCATCTATTTGTCCCATTCTCCCTCTGATCTGTGCTAGTCCACAAACCTCCAGACTACCCTCAATCCAGTCCCTTCCTTTAGGCACCTTTGTAATCATTGTGCTTATCTGGCCAGGACACTCTGTGGGGAACTGGCTTCTCTTAATGATTGCAACACTGAAGGGCAAGGATTCCAAATCCTCGTCACCCCTTCCCTTCAGCATGGCCAGCACACCCTAGCATCTGCCTGGTAAATACTTGGCAAAGGACTGGCTCAAAGACAGCAGAGAAGTTCTTTTGCTCTACTGAAGGTAAACATCAGGTAGTAGTAGGACTTGGAAACTGAAAGGGTCCTTGAAGATTGTCTAGCCCAGCTCGCTCATTTGGACAAGGCTTGCCTCCCAGGTAAATTGGTGGTACTCCAGGTCTACTTCCAGCTCCTGCTATAGTGACCCACCACTACCCTCAACTGAGCCACCAAGCTGGACACAATATAAGACCCATCTTGGCTTCTTGGTGATTGCTCTTTTTTTCTTTTTTTTTTGTGTTGAAAGTCACCAGCACCATGGATGGCAAAGAGACTGGGACTCAGAGAGGGAAACAAATACTTACTGTCTCCACTGCTTTCAAGCCACTTCTCAAGGTACTTATTTCCTTGTCCAGCTCAGTCATGCTGTTGTAAAAGGTAACATTTTAGTAATCAGCATGCGATTTAAATGGATTAAATACATAAYGGTTTTAAATATTTCACACTTAGAAGTTCATACCAGTTTATTTTAAATGTTTTTTTAAAAAATTCCCTTCCTTGTTTGGATCTCACAGAAGGACCACATCTTAAATTTATGGAATTTAGGTACAGAATTATGTTTTCTGTTTTCCACAGCCAGCAGGTATATTTTACAGGTTAAAAATAGCAAAAGAGAAATGTCTCCCATGTGTACAGAAATATTTTATGCTTCAGCCTCAAAAAATTCTCTCTCCAGCGAGTTACTATATGTAGAAATACATTTCTTGCCATACTTGGCTCTCTTTGAGAGAGCAAAAGAAACTGGCTTACTCACAATCACATCCATCAATATACGACTTTTCACCAAGGCGCTGGTAATGTATTACAAAGTAATGTCGCATTTCAGTCAGCAATGACTTTTTTTCAAGATTGTACTAACTCATCTTATTTTCATTGCCTTTTACTTTTTATTAGAGAAGGATTCCTGAGCTTCTCCTATATGCTTTCTATTTCATGGCTTTTAAACAACAGAGATTAAAACTTCATTCTTACAGATATTTCACAACAAAGAAACTCACCAATACTTCATTTACTTTAATATTTTATTTTCATGGTGTATTTACATGGTATATTTCTACCCAATTCTACAGAGGGAATAAACTAGCCTGATTATCAGACTTTTCAAAGTCAGAGTTAAAAAAAAAATAAAAAGAGAGAGATGCAGTTTAGATATATGTATATATTTTTTTTTTTTAAGAGTCAAAAGTGAGAGGGAAGAACTGTAAGGAAAATTGCCTGCTCTTCAGTCTCTGAAACATGGTGTAAAGTTTCTGGTGAAAGTTTGGCAACTTCCCATTGTATTTTTAGTTTCTTGATCTGCATATAGACTGCTTCCCATTAGAGTGTTGCCTTGGTTTCAGGGAGTGTGTTCATATGTGAAAATTACTAGCAGCACCCTTACATGTTTGTACGTCTCCATTTGCCTAACCACGCATCCTCCTTCAACTTAGGTGGCTCCTTCCTGTGTTTAATAGAACTGCACTTTAAAGGCACCACTGAAACCATATTCTTTTCCTATATTCTTAATAACTCAGAATGTTAGATTATATGGACCTAGAAAAATCTGTATTTCAAAACCTTGTAACATTTGAATGATTTGGATACAAATCAAACATTATGTCATGTAATGTTTGGAGGAAAAAAAACCAGAAGGACCCAGGTCATGCAGTTTACCTCATACAATGCTAGGAAACCTTCTAAATGGCTAACCTACAGTCCAGGTGACTGACAGAACTGCAATGATTCACTAAGAGTACTTACTTTACTTTTGCCGCTTGAGGAATATCCCGCAATTCTTCATTTAGATTGAGAACCTTGGGGTATTTATTTTCCACAATAGTTATTAGATAGTGCAAAAGGGTAATGTTCCTACAAGTAAAGAAAGGGAGAGCATTCAACATAATTAATCTGCGTATGATTTATATGCTCAAGTGGCAGAACCCACAGTAATGCTAGACTCCTGCATTAACTTTATAATTTGGAGGTTCCGGTAAGGCAGGGGCTCTCAAAAGCAGAGGAGAATGAGAGCCTAAAAAGAAATGGTTAGGATAAGAATTATATTTTTGGTCTATAATGAGCATCCTTCAAAATCTGGGCAACATCCTTGGTGACAAAAGTGAATCTGAACCATTGCCAATGGAGAGAAGATCAAGTTTACCTTTATAGAAGATCCATCCCCAAATGGGGTGTGCCATGCAAATTCATAGCAAGCAGAATTAGGTGGGCTGGGGTAAGAAGTGAGAGATGTTTCACCCACCAAAGAGAGTAGCTATTTTCAAGTCTAGAAGTACTTGAAATACTTTTCAAGTCTAAAAACCAACTCACTGATAACCATTATTACTCAAGATTTCATCCAAAGGGCAGACAGAAAGTTAGAAAGTCTCCTATTTCAGGGCTGAACCTGGAAGTGGGCCATAACTGTGCCATCAAGTATATGACATCCTCGCAGCTGTGAATACAGTTCTACTTTTAGCAACACTTCAGCTCTTAACTGCATAACCCTTAGTACTTAAAACGGTTGGCTGTGCCAATTCCCTCTCTAGTGGTGAGGGTGGTGACAGGGCTGAACCCTGACTGACCCGGATTGAAAAGGGTGGGGGGAGTGTCTGATAACACTATCAGGCAAAGCTGTGTTAGTCTGGTCCTGCTGTCACCAACTCTGCTGCACATTACAATCACCTGGGCTCCAGATGCCTGGGCCAATCCCAAAGGCTCATTTAATTGGAATAAGGTGGGGCCAGGCATAGATGTTTGTTAAAATTCCCTGGTGACTCTAATATGCTGCTAGCACCAAGAACTAATCTACTGAAGTTTCCATAACCAGGAGGATACAAATGCATTTCTCTAGAAGCATTTCTATAATATGGGTAGTTTGCTAATTTGCAACACTAAATAATAATATTCCTGCCCACATCTAGCCAAAGTGAATCAGAATTGCCATTTTCTTTCCTATATCCATGAAAAGCATTTCTGATTATGCTTGCAGCTTCATACAGATGATACATTCCTATTCCTCAGTTAAGGACTCATATTTTTAAAAATTCCTTTATTTTTCTTCAATAATCAGAAAACAGTTGCCCGGCAAATCAAAATAGTGGCCAATAATTCTGCCCACTTAGGATTCCAGCATTCAGCCATGTCCTCCACCTGCATTCGGCTGTTCATAAAACCTACCTATCTGCCCTGGTGCCTCTCACCTAAGGCGTAACAGGAGGGAATGAAATGCCAGATACCATCACAGGAAAGAGTAATGCTACTTTTCTCCATTTTCATAGAAAAATACTTTGTTATTTAGAGCAATTGAGATAACTTTAACTATACAGACCTTTCTTATTGCAGAAAGCCTTGAAATCAGGTCAGACATTTATGCATTTGTTTGCTATCCAAATAACACCCCATTTGACTAAATAAATACAAATTCTTGAAGAATGAACAACTAAACAGCCACACATTTGACTACTCCCTGATGGTCACCAGGAGCTTGAGGCTTCCCTGCTGACTGTGTCACCATTAAGCAGTTTGGTGATATCCAGCTGAACAAGTGTTGAATGTGTGGCTGCTCAATGGCTAGGTGCTACATTAGGCACTGTGGTATAGACACACTGATGCTACATTTGGGGACGAAATATTCACAGGCAGAAAAAGGAAAAAGAAAGATCAGAAAATGTTTTGATTTGTTCTTTGAAAAGGTTTGTTCATTAGATAAATTCTATAGCAAGCTAAATGAGTCAATAATCACATAAATACGAGGTTATTGGTGAGTGTGTGAGTGTGTGATCTGCCTCTGTGTGTGCATGCATATGCAGCCGAAGAGAACATTCTTTCTTAAAAAGGTCACTGCTCCTAATATGCAAATCAGAGACTGCCAGTCCCTGGTCCAACCTCCAAATAAGACCCATCTGTTGGCAAGGGCAGAATTATAGACAAACCAACAGAACAGGTGTTAAAGACCTGTGAGGCCAAATTCCTTGCTTGGGGTGCCCTTAGGCAAGCATTTTATCTGACAAACAGTTGATAACAGATTTGGCTTGTGAATTTCACAGGCTGTTGTGACCATGAAATGTGAAAGTGCTCTGAAAAGGATCAAGTCCTCACATTAAAAGTTAGGTGGCAAAGCTATAATACAACAGCTGCTCTTCATCACTCCTTCTCTCCATGATACAAAAATGACAGCTTAGCCCACTTCCTATTTCTTCTAAGATGGATTGAGAGTTGCCATATGCTATGCTTCACTAACTCTATTGAAAATATAGGGTAAAAAGCCTCATTAGCTGGGAATAATTAGGATGAACAGCCAATACCCCTAAAAAGATTTGGGTGCAGAGCAGCTTACCTTAGAAACAATTGTGTAAGTTCCTTTGAAGTCAGTGAGAACCTTGGAGAAACAAAGCTCTCAGGGAAACTAGAGTTAATATGTGTAATGACCCTACCTGCCATCGACACAAGAGCATTTTCATGTCTTGGTGTTTCTAACCAGAGTCTGTTCACCTAAACTGCAGCGCTGGACACTTTCTAGGAAGCATTTTAATGAGTCTTGGGATGAGCAGCTGAATACCAATGGCCAAAATGCATTTATGCATCACAAGTTTTTCGGATAGCTGTTAGCGCCAATGTGTGAAAGGAAAACATAATCTAAAAACCCAGTGAACTTCACCTTCCCAGCATCGGCTATCAAGTTTTCCTTCTCTCTGGAATATAGCTCTCTATGGAGCAGTAGTGACTAGGGAGCCATGGGGAGACTTCCAGAAAGCTAGTGGTATTCTGCTTCTTATCTTGGTCATACAAGTGTACTCAATTTCTCAAAATTCATCAAGATGTACATTTATGCTTAGTGACGTCTCTTTAGTGTAATATACTATAATTAAAAAGTTTACAAAAAAAGAGACAGGGCTAATTAAAAAGAAATCTGAAATAGATGGTATCCCTATACATTGAAAATGGATGAAGGATAACTGCCCCCCCCCATCCACCCCACCCGAACTTGGGGGATGCCCATGGTTATGAGAGAGAAGGGAGTTCATGTGGGAGAAGAGTATTGACAAAGAGAAGTTCAAGCTGGAGATTGGAGTGTCACGGAGGCCAAGGAGGATCAGAAAGAACAACTCAAGCCCTACCTAAGCACCCAGATGCTGTTAGTGTTGGAAGATTCTACACTTACTTGTCAATACTGGATTTTGTGTCAGCAATCTTGTTGAGGCTGGAAATCTTGAATCCATAGGCATTGCCTCTTTGGCCTTTATTCATGTAATTTCCAAATGCCAAAACCACCTCCAGCAACTGCTTGAGGGCGCCACTCCTGAATACTTCTTCTGAGCCAGAACGAATTGCTTCAAAACAAAACGCGAAAACACAACTATTATCACCAGCACTTTCAGTGATACCTCTCCTAAATTGACTTACTGTGACAAATATTGAAGATGTAAAACTGGGTCATTAGACTGCCAAGGAACACTTTCAAAACATCTAAACCCGAAGCAAAGGATAAGGGGACAACTAAAACAGCTAAAAGTTCCACAGATGGCTATTGATTTGTCTCCTTTCTCAGTCCTTTTCTGGTCTGACTCACCAACCTTGAGCTTTTAGAATACATGGAATAGCAACTCTTCAACATTCCTTTGCAAACACTTTCAAGCCTGGTGTGAGTCAGATCAGTAGGATTACTGATCAATTCCACTGATAAAGAACTGATCAAATATGTTACATGTTCTGGTTTGCAGGTGTCAAAACAGGGATTGAAGCTCAAGCAGACTCTGATTCTAGTTCATATTCTGTAACTGTGTTTTCTGGTGGCCTCGCCCACATCTAAAATATTTAAAAACTTAACAGCCTCAAATCTACCCTTAGAAAAATGTGCTAAGGCCCTGTTGCAAGAAAGCTAATTGCAGGTTTAATGTTAGTAATGGTCAAATTCATTTCTTAGCTACACCCATGTGGTCAAAAGCCCAGCCATGCAGTTGAACTCAGGAGGTATGCTAGGCCAGGCCAGKATGCCAAGTGCTGACCTTAAGTAATTGTCCATAATTGTCCATTGGAAGTTCAAGTTTACATTTTTTTTTAAACCAGGGGCACTTTATCACTGAGCTACATCTCTAGTCCTCTTCATTTTTTATTATGAGATAAGGTCTCGCTGAATTTCTGTGGTTAGCCTGGAATTTGTGATCCTCCCGCCCAGTTACTGGGATTTACAACATGGTATGCAACATGGTGCCCAGCTGTCCATCAGAATTTCCAAAGATTTCAAGCAAAAAAAAAAAAAAAAAAAAAAAATCACCACAGGGGCCCTGATTACTATGCTCATTTGGATGGAACTTGTAAATGGGCACTTAAGACAAACATGGCTCCCAACCTAGGAGGCTCTGCTTTACCTTCTACTTTGGGTTTCACTTCTGCCACGCGCTCTGCAAACTTCTTTTTGAAGTACAGCGATTGTAGTCTTTGCTGGTAATGATTGATTCTGTAAGACCAAGCATGCACTGATCAGCATTCACTAAATACAAGAGCCCATTTCTGCACTGGATATTTGGGCCATTGTCCCAGAGCCCTTAGCTCCAACCAAATAAGGCAACTGCTGAAGAAAGGGAGAGCCAGCTGCTGTTGCTAAAGCCCCCTTCATTTCCTCAGAGTGCCAACAGCTTGAATATACAAGAGATGAAAGGAATAAAGGTGTAAGGGCTCTTCACCTATTGCAAATAAAAGGCAGTTTCCCAAGTTGACCTTTTCACAAAATTTGGCTTTTGGCCAAACTCTAAAGACCTATCTCCAGCATGCTGCCCCTCCATCAATCCTCTCCTCACTCTCATTCCCAAACCTTCCTTTTTTCTTCACAATTAGCTCCTATCTGTTCCCCTCAGGGATGGCAAGCTTTGCCTTCTCAGGCAGCAACTAGAGAGAATAAGGGTGTACATTGGCCTCTCATCACCACTGAGCTGAGCTGTCTTATTACTGGGGGTTAGAGTAGGCCTTCTGAAGTCAGTGCCTAAACCACTTATGGTAGAAGTTTCAGTTCAACAGATCAGGGATCAGCCCCTCCTCCACAACTATACGATATAATTTAACAGRCTTGAGTGGGCAGCCCAGGTACTCCTTGTATTAGGTGACCTTGAGCAAGTACCAAAACTCCTCTGAGTCTTGTTTCCCTTGATGGTAGGTGGAATAAAATACCTCTGTCCCTGGGATCCCCCCAGGCAAGTCTAAGAAGAAGGTTAAATGAGATGGTACATGCAAAGATCTAGATGCTTAATAAGTGGTAGGTATTGCAGGTGGCTATTTACTTGTCTCTACTGAAGATTGTTGGGTGTATCTGTCAAAATTTCAAAGTCATTCTTTGTCTGACATTAGTACACAAAATGGCAAATTGTGATAGAAGAAGAACATCAAAAAATAAGTCTGGACATGGCAGGAATGCAGAGTGAGAGATGTGTTCCCCTTGGCTGCATTTGTAGGCCTTTAGCACTGAGGGGAAGAACTGCCCTGAGGTTCACTGAGAGTTTCAGGACCATTGCTCCTTCTCTAATGCAGAATCAATTTGCTAGGCCTGGAATGACAAATAGACTCAGCTCACACGCCAAACCCAATTATGAGGCAGAGACTGCCTCAGGGCTTTCTGGAGAACGGCTCAGAAAGCTTGCCAATGCTCCGCTCTGTGGGAAGAGTGCCACGATTGATTAGTGATGTCTGCATGTGTCATGATTTGACACTCAGACCCTGGCCATTCAGTTATGGCAGCACCAGGTTGACATTAACAGAGTCTGATCATTTTTCTTTTTCTATCTTATAATAATCTTGAGATGCCAAGGTACGAGGATGTATGAATACTGTCCCCTAAACTCAAATTGGTGAGTACTGACTGGAACTAGGAAAGTTAAGGCTTGCTAAGACCAAAGTACATAAGCCAAAGGGGCCCAGAAATAGAGATGGTTGTGAAAACAAAACAAAACAAAACAGCCCTGATCCTGGCTCATCCATGGGCAAGAACTCACATAAACAGAACAATCAAATTCCACATAGACTTAAAAAGATTTTAGAATTTAAAAAAGCTTTCAGTTGAGCCAGGTTAATTGGCCCAAGCAATTTAATGCGAATTGCCATTACTAGGGTATGAGACATCTTTCATTTTTCGGTATCTTCAAACTCACCGGCTCATCTCAAACAGAAATCGATCAGCCTTGGCCATCCGATCCAATTCATGCTTATGTTCCTCCAACAGGTCAATATCACTTTTTTCAGGAACAAATTTCAAAAGCTAAAAAATACATGCAAAAATTAAATCTAAGGTTAATAACTTAAATCTCTGCAGTAAGTTTTCACCATTCTAGCTAATTTGTCCCAATATGAAATTTTAACTTTTGTTTAACATATAAACTCTGCTCACAGGTCTATGTTACAGTAGAAATAATTAAATATTTACATTTTTACTTGAAAGTAGTTAAAAGATTGACATCTGGCATTATCTTATTCTCTACTACCTCTCAAGTAAGAGTTGTGGAAGTTCTCTACCAGAACCCATTTTGCACAGGCCATTAGAAAGAGCTGAGAGATTCAGCCCTCTCATTGAAAGTGATATAACTGAGGACCAGAGAGATTAAGCTACTCACCCAGATTATAAAGCAAGTTTATGTAACTGTCAGAAACAGAACCCAGGTTTCTTTGACTCCTACCTCTATGCTTATTCTATTATATCATGATGGAATGAATGATCCTATTTGCATTTTTCCATTCAATTTGCTTATTTTTCTTCTTATCTAATTACACCTCCTTTATTGTTCCATGTAGAACTAATGAGAGGAACAAAGTGGGATCTGATGTTTTTGACTCCATGCTTTATTTTGGAGGGAGAAATGATCATGGAATGTGGAAAAATAGCAACAATAAAGTTGAAAAAGTACTTCTGTGTGTCTGATTTCCTTTCAGTTTGTATGTATATGTGTAGAATTATGCAAGCATACTATTTTCTAGATCAAATGCCCTTTGATTTGTTTTTTTTTTTTTAATTACACTGATCTTCTGAACTCTAAGATCCTCTCTGTAACTTGGTGCTGGCATTGGGTGGTCCCTTTTGTAAGGTTTTCAAATGTTTGTTGGGATTTAGCTGGAAGACTTCAGAAAGAGCAGTGAGCCTGAGTGCTACCAGCAGAGGAAGAGAACTGGAACTATAGAGAAGGAGGCATGGGATTCAAGCTTTCTTTTGAGGGCATTAGGATATCCCTTAAACATCTTATGTAGGAGAATGAGTTTGTACTTTTAAAAGATCAGCATGTTTATGGAATGGAGACGGAAGTAGGAGGGATCAAAATTGTTAGGGTGTCATGAGCAAATAGTTGGTGTAGTCATCCAGGTGAGAGATGGTGGTGGCCTGCATTGGGTGGGGATAGAAGATAGATTTTAGGGCTCTTTAGGAAATTTGAATAGCACTGGCCTGACTTGTAATGGATGAGTTGTAGTAAAATAAGGAGGAAAAGTCAAGGATGAAGCCTGGGCTTCTGGCTCAGGGAAAAATATACAAAGCATAACAAGAAGAAAAGTGGGAAGTGGCCCAGGGATGAGAAGGTGGGTTTTGTGGTTGCAATTATTTGCAGGAGAACCAAAGAGGGATTTCTAGGAGGTCGTTGGACATATGGGTCTGAAACCCTAAAGAGATGTATTTGGAAGACAAAGTAGTGGTATTGGTTGTAGCAGAAAGGCTACTAAGCTCAGGATATGTGGTGACATAAGTAGGGGAACTGTCCAGAGGAAAAAATTCAGGGCTGGAGAGAACCAACAATCAAGGGATGAGGACAAGAGGAGGAGCGGTCAAAGGAAGCAACGGAGAAGGTACAGCTGGAGAGGCCTGTGCGGCACCACAGGGCCAAGGGAACCATGTGACATTGTGGAGCAAGTGGCCACTGGTGTCACATGCCACCAAGAAATGAAAGAAGATAAGGACTGCAAAATGTCCCCTGGCTTTGGCCACAGGGAAGTTGTGAGTGTCCTTGGTGAGAACAGCTTTAGAGAGGTGAGGCAGACAGACTGCGGAGGGTTGATGAAGAGTGACTAGGAGGTGAGTGTGGACAAGCTGTCAACTCTGGCTGGGTCACAGAGAGAGTGAACAGTAGCTGGATGGGTGTGTGCAAATGCATGCACATGTGTGTGTATGTGTATGTGTGTTAAAGGCTGGAAATTCGACACACTAAGAGTTGACAGGGTGAGGTTGAAGATCTAGGGGAGGGGCTGTCAATCCAGCTGGACCCCTGACTAGAAGGAAGGGACTTCGCCAGTCTTTTTCCTAAGGAAATGGAAGGGGGGAGGACAGAGGAAAGCTGGTGCCAAGGTGTTCACACAGGTCTGGTGGCCAGGAGCCCTGAGGCATTGCTATTTCAGTGGTCAAATGGTGACATTGGACAGGACATGCAATCTCTTATTCTTCAGAGAACAGAGGGAAGGAAGGCAGTAGGGCAAGGAGAAAAGAGGAGGAACGGGGAAGAGATTTGTTTTTCTAATGCTTACTTTGGATTTTTACCTCCCAGGCAAGGAATCTCAGTTCTAGTCTCTGGGATCCTTTTACCAATTTGCACAGCCCAGTGCCCCAGCTAATTGTGTTGAGCCCACTGGCCAGTGCTCAGGATAACACAACCACGATGTCTCTTTTGCTACTTAACAGGAGCACAATAAGAGACATGCTCAAGAATTGGTCCTCTCAAAGGAAAGTCAAGAAATGCACTGAGTGTAGATAGTTTTAAGAGGGGAATGGAGAGTTAGGCAAACACCTGGGAACAAGGAGAAAGATATGCATTCCAAGGACGACAGCTCATCTGACATCTGAGCGCAGCAGGACAGGAAGGAATGAGCATCCTAATGCAAATCACAAACCTGAGTAAAGAGATGCTGGTATTAACCTGTCTCTGCCAAGAGTGGTCTATGGAAGGAAAGGGAGCAGAGGTACAACAGTAAAATATGGAGGAAAAGGAAGAGCGTGGGAGTTGACCAGAGAGTGAGGCGCTCACAGAATTATCAGGAGAGACCAGGTCAAAAATATCCTTGGCCGGATTCTGCGTCAGTAGACAGATTTTCTTACTTGTGTTTATTTGAAGTACGTTCTATTTGCACTGCAAGCTCTTTTGGCAAGATTTTGGAATCCTTTCCCTCAAGGAGGAATTTTGCTGGATGCAATTTCACAGTAAACAGATCTTGTGGAATTTTAAACATATGACCTTGGCGATAGGGGCTTAAGACAGAAGGAGTAAAGCAGCTTTACACATTGCTCTGTGCTCTGGGTTAGTGACTGGAAGGCAGAGTGACCTGGGAGCTGGGGAGTGAGTTCTGAGGGCCACCAGGCTCTCTATTCTGGGGCAGAGACTGTTCTGATGGTTGTACGGTGAGGGAGGGACGAGAACATGGAGGAGCGAAAAATGCTCTAAAAAAATGGGGGAAAGCTTTAAAACTACTCATACCCAGAGCCTCCTGGGAGACTTGAGACATAGTCATTAATTATTTTGATAATTAAATCAAACCTCTTGAGGGCAGCATGAAAGTTTTTCTCTGCCAAGTTGTGAGGGTTTTTCCCTAAGACAACTCCAGCTGCAGAGGTTGTAGGGAATGCAGGTCCATTTTGGGGAGAGGGGGATGACGCTGTATGTCACTCCTGCCTCCTGTGTGTCTGAGGCCTTTGAGGACATCAGTGAGGACCATGGAAAATGCACATACAGACAGAAGGACACTCTAGCCAGAGTGGCCTTGTCACCTAGGATCACTTCAGTAATGCAAAAGACCCTTTTCTTCTGCCCTCAGAGCTGAGCATGCCTACAGACAAGGCCCTTCACATGGTCTGGAATCGTGGTCTCTTGGACCCACAGTTGACCTTACATGGTTCTGGCTCTAACAAACATGGACCGCCCCCCTGGCCTGAATCAGTCAAAATATGATCCCCCACCCCGCAACATCTCACCAAGAAATGAGACAGAAAGCTCAAATAATCTGGGAGTATCCTCAGACTGTCACTATAAGACTCAGAAAAACTGAGGCTCAGACCAAGGGGCAGGCCTAAGAGACAGGTGAAAGAGCTGGGATATGTGTTGGTTCAACAATCTGGATGTTTGCAGACAACAAAACAGAGTTGCTGAATTAYACATGCTGTAGTTGGAGTAGCTAAGTGGAAATGCTATAGAAATACTGCACAAAGAGAGACCCGTTTTTCACATTAGACTGACTGCTTGGCCACAGATAATAAAAATTACATGTATCCACTATGGGTAAATCCCACTTGCTAGCCTGGGCATTTGAATTTACTGCCATTTTTTTTTTTTTTTTTAACAGAAGAGGGTGCCATCCAGAGATAAGATTTTTCCCCAATAAATTGATAGTTTACCTACTGACACATGAATATTTAGATACAAATGTCAGTGCTGGGGGGTTTTGTGCTTGATGGCATGATGAGCCATGACCAAAACATAGGTTATATTAAGAATTTTACAGAAATCAGTACATGTAGTCTAATTTGTGCATAATGCTAATAAGATTCTCAATGTCTCATGAAACAGATTTTCTACTCAAGATAGTATATTTATATGATATTAATTATGTCTCAGCAAAGACATAATAACTTAATTGCAGCATGAGGGACAGAATCTGGCATTGTGGGACCAGGCATTTGACAAACTTGTGACCTTTCTTCCCAGCCATCATTTCGAGAAAAATGAGAGAATGAAGTCATAAAAGAGCCATATGCAACCTTGGTTCAACCTTCTTAATTCAGAGATGCAGAAATTATCTATTAGCAACAACTGAATTGTGTCACTATGCCCCTCCCTGTGGAAAAATCAGCTATAACTTAGGTTCCAAAAAACCTCTGCTACTCACCTGTTCCAACATGTCCTTGGGCAGATCTTCTTGTTCATCCATTGTTAGAATTGCCCGTTTGATTTCATCATTGGATAATTTCAACCTGGAGATGGAAGATTTTTATGTTGTTAGCAATGCTGGCATGAGCAGCACTAACATTTATTTATTTATTTATTTATTTATTTTTTTAATATTTTTTTTTTTGAATTTTTAATATATTTATTTTTTAGTTCTCGGCGGACACAGATCTTTGTTGGTATGTGGTGCTGAGGATCGAACCCGGGCCTCACGCATGCCAGACGAGCGCGCTACCGCCTGAGCCACATTCCCAGCCCCAGCACTAACATTTAATACAACTCATTTTGCCACTCCAGCTGCTGAGTTTCGAGCACGGTTTTTCTCAAAGTCTCTCGGTGAAAGCTTCTTTCCTGACAATATAGGATTTTGAAACTAAAAATAGGGTTTTGAAACTGCTTTAACATTCTTTCGGGACTTGGTAATGCTCTGCTGACACAGAGAACAAAGCTGCTATGTTCTATCTTTTAATTTCCTAAAGCAAGGGATCCGAAGATTGGAAATAGGGAAAATACGTGCAATCGTTTTCCTTTATATGCAGCATCCACGAATTGCAGGTGAGATAACTAAATCCCTGAGTTTACTATCAGGTTAAAAAATAGACTTTGAGAAGGTTGCAAACTACACAAACTATAGCTCATTTCTATGCAAAATAAAATGTATAAGCACTTCATAGTTGAGGAGTTTTTACATATGTTATTTCATTTGATTCTCAAAATAATTGTGCTCTCTTTTTTTAATAGGCGGAGAAACTGAGGCTCACAATGGCCAAGTGATTTAYCCAAAGTCAAACGCAGAGAGTGACAGTACCCATAAAGCCAAGCTCTCCTGTGACTGCTTATCTCCAATGTTTTTTTTTTTCTCTTTAAAAACAAATGCTTGTCTAGTTAACATCTCATAGGTAAGGATCTGTGCTTTTGTACAAATCCATTTTCTGTTTTTCTGTCTACCATAAACTTATATTCTAATTTAATTAGGAATTTGTGACTTAAGTCAAGATAACAAAGTGTGGACTACAAAATATGAGTCATGAATTTAAAATACACTTGTACAAAATGTGTTTTTATAGTGGTCTTAATGGGGGCAAATAATCACAATCACAATATTAGCTGTGACAGCAGTCATTCCTTTGCTTTACTTGTAAACCCACATCTACTTCTAACATGCTACTTCCTTACCACCTAATAATGTGGTACATCATTAACATCACCTCGTCTGTCCTTTAATCTATGCTTTTCCAGGAGGATCACATTTAAGACTGGAGATAAAGACACAAACACAGATATAGAGCAAGATGTACACGTGCCACATGTAACTTTAGAAGGAGGAACTTTGGTGTTAGACAGGCTGGGCCCCAGTCCTGGTTCTGACAATTTCTGGTTGGGAGTTCTTGAAAAATATTTTTATTGAGCCTCAGTTTTCTCATATGTAAAACAGAGATAATAACAACTACATTAAAAAAAAACATGCACTCATGCATAAGGGTTAAGTGAAATCCACATGAAGTACTTAGCATAGTTCCTGGTCATAGAAATATGGACTCAATAAACTGCACATGTGCCTTACAAGGCACACTTTCTTATGCCAGAAGAGAAGTATCAGTACTTTCGTGACCTTAATATTCACATGTTCATTAAGCAGTGCTTAGTGCGGTTATTATGAACACTTCCCAAAGCACATTCACACCCATTATTTCACCCGTGTTCCCTATATGAGATAGCATTAGGCCTGGGAGTACTAACAAGGAACTAAAAGATGTATCTTAATCTTAAAGGTGATTGTAATCTTTGGGAGAACTGAATGGTAAGCAGAAACAGGCAAGACCCAAAGGTGTGCAAAACACGCACTCCCACATAAAGGTGAGGGCTGGACTCCAAGGCGGTTGAAGAAGCCACGCCCCCTAGATGGAACCGGAAGGACATATCACTGTGGACACCTCTGGCTTATCCTTTCCTTTAGATCTTGACACGATTTTGTTCAAACTGTCCACCCAACAATTTAAACTGCATGTTGCTTCATGTGCCAGTGAACAGGAAAGAGAAGGGACACATTTGGACATCCTATTGTACTAACGCCTTTCTCTTCTAGCTCATGTTCTCAAATTCAATTTTAGCATCTAGGCAAAATGGCAGACTCTCCACTGACAAATAAATAAGAACCTTGTCTGAGCTGCAGTGCCATCGTGACTTCCATGCTTGGAGGGCAACCCTGACCCTGGCATATTCTCCAGTTGGTTTCAATCATTCTTGGGACAATCACTGCTTCATGAACATTTTCACTAGAACATCCTGACAGCAAATTCCCACAATTAAATGGAACCACTTAGCTAAGCTGGCTGAGTAGAGTATACTGAGAGGGGAAAAAACTGCATGGATATCAAGGACTCAAGTGCCCAAGTCCGGAACAGCTCTGGATTCCAGGATGTACACTACAGGCTTAAGTCAATTTCAATGCAAACACCATGGTGTGGTCTTGGAAGGCCAAGGGAAGACTGATGCAACCACTAATGAAAACCAACCAGCCAGGGGAAAACATCTATAATCATCATAAGAAGAGCTCTGCATGTAAGAAAAAAAATTAATTAGTTCTGTGTCCTTTTCACACCAAGTGGAAGAAACCGTTTTATGGTGTAGTTCTGCTCAGTCCTTCTGTTTTGCATTTAAAAGAAAAGGAGTTGAAAATCAGAGCGAGAACAATACTTGAAGTATCAGATTTGCATTTCATTAGCTCCCCATATGGAGTGCAGAACTTTTTGCTTTTGAAATTGTATATATTTATGCTCCTCAACCCCCAGAGGCTGTCTGGACTAAACACTAGCTCTAATTCATAACAATTCTGGTTTCTCTTAATGTGTTCCACAAAGGGACTGGAGACTTTAATGGATAGTACTTAAGAAAATCTACCTGTCAACATAACACCATACACGTGGCCTGTTGGATCAGAAAAAGAAACCCTACCTTGGGGGAGGGGGGGGAGGGGAGAAGGGTTCCCCGCCGGCTGGGATGGTTCTATAGGCTGCAGAGTTCTTAGTGTCATCTGTCATCCACAGAATGAGTCTCTAATCTCTGTAATTTAAGGACCCTAACAATTCTAGGCTTTTAATTGCTTTTAAAGCTTGGCAGTGTTCTGGCATGCTGGAGGGTGGCACCTTGAGACACCCATTCCAACTTTCTTTACAAGGCAGGAAACAAACCAGGCATCTTTAAACAGTATTTAACTCTACCTTGTTCTACTCAAGCATTTCAAAAATTTGCGGAGAGAGCTGGAACATCAGGCATAATTAAAACAAGTTAAGGATGGATGGCTAGATCAGCCCTAGCTCTGTTTCAGTGGACTGGAGCCAAATCCCCCTATTTAAAGTAGCTTTTTGTGGTTTACGACACCCTGACTGCCATGTCAAGTGAGTATCCGGAAAAAAAAGAATGGCAGAACACTTCATAAAATTGTGTTTTAGGTGGGTTCATTTGGCAATATAAACCTGCTTCCAAGTTTCTTTTTCTCTCTTCATTTTTTGAAAGAAGAGGTCTGTTTTGGAGAATAAAACTGTGTTTCAGATGGCTACTGTCGCCCATATACATACAATAGAAAAGCTGCTTGAGGAACTATTGTAATAACATGTGCTCATTAAATTGGTTTTTGATAGACAACAGAACAAATCAAGTTTTTAATGGCTTCCCATTCTGAGGTATACCCTGCCCTCTCCATTCTTCTCCTGAGTTTGTGAAAGGCATGTTCCTGGTTCCCTGGAGCTCCCCATTCAAATTCACACCTCTCTGAGAACTTGACGACTAAAGTTGTAAAYAATAAACACCTTCCTTACCAGGCTTGAGGAGACCTGCCTGCTTGGCTCCAGGAGGCCACTGCAGGTTCCTAACAAAGGGTTCCCTAGATTCTGTAGCATGTGAGGAGAGCTCTAAAATATAACCAAACACTGTGGGCACATGGGCCCATGAAAATACCACCCATGGAATATGCCACTGGTTCTCACTGTGGAGGACTTTGGTGCTAATGATTGCTGGGAAATAAATCCTTCATCAGCCAGATAACAAATAACGAAGTTTGCTAGACTTTGGGATTGAAATACATAGGAAACAGGAAAGATGGAAAGGTAGGAAATCTTGACATCATCTTTGAAATAATCCTAGTCTTTGTCCCTAAGCACAAAATCAGACTCCCAGTCCTATCAAGGGTCCCTCATCGGGTCTCACATGGACAACAGAAAGACTCCTCTCTCATGGCTCCCCCTGCACTCAGCTCTTGACCCCTTCCAACTCATCCTGCAAAGCCCTGAGACCAAATTTAAAATGTTAATAAAACACATACTGAACTCCTGAACAAACTGCAGTCTCTTGATCCCACAATGTATAAACAGGCCATTAACTGAGCGGCTACCACATATAGGCACCTGCCAGGGACTTCATACACACTAGGTCTAATTCTCACAAATCCACTACAAAATTACTACTTTCCTGATCTTGTTGAGGAGAAGGTTATTATGACTTGATCTTGGGCTGACTCATATCCTTATAAAAGCATAAGATGTGAATCCCAGCCTTTCTTACTGAGTATCATGCAATTCAGTTTATGATCCTCTGCTGCCATGCAGGCCTCTCTTGATTGGCTGCTCCAAGTCTCCATGTAACTCTGCCCCTTGGGACCCACTTCTTCCGGTTACTATTGCTGGAGCCCCTCTCATACCTGGTYGAGCTCCTGTGACCCCTGACTTGTTCCTTGTTCACAAGTCTTCTTGCATGTGTCATTTTTCTTCTCCCATCAGCCTTGAGCTTTCAAAGGCAGCAACGCTACCTTATGTTTTAGTAAATCCTCTGGCACCTAGCATAGTGTCAGGCAAATACATGCTCCAAAGTGGGGACTGTCCAGAAAAAAGGTATCAGATCCACTTTCATTTATTTCTTCCCTACTTTAAGGCTTTTCCTAGCTTTCTTTTGTTTATAGGAATAAATTGTCAATGAAAAGGGGAGAATAAAAAAATTCAAACTGGTTGCAAAACTAAATATWATACACATTAAATCAGCTTGATTATTTTCATTTTTAGCACAGCACATTTAACATGTCAGCCTGCGCTTTGCTGATGGGAGAGTAAAACATCTCATCACGGAGAGAAAAGGAAGTGGTACTGAATCCTGTGGGAGAGGAGGTTTTAAACCTAATCAATAAGGCACAACTAACAATAAGGCCAACTGGGACCCAGAATTACTTTGTTAGCCACAAAATGCCTTTTAATTGTGCTCATTGTAACAAATATACTCATCAAAGTAGATTTTAATAGATAATCTAATAGATACAACACAAGGTCTTTAAATCGTCTCCCAGAGAGTTTAGACACATACAAGTTCTAAGTCACTTTCAGCTCTGACACTTTTAGGGTAACAAGGGAATCATATACCAGGAATAAGAAATAATTCCTTCAATAATGGAAAGGGAATCTTGCCAGAAAGAGTTGTAACCTTATATATAACTAGTGTAATTATCCTGGCTGGCACTTAGCATTGAAGATAATCTGTCTACAAGAAACTAGGTCACAGTTTTTACTCTATAAGCAGTTTGACGCTAAAGAAGTTCAGGGTGATAGCTCTCTTTATCAAGCTGCTTTAAAGTATTCATCTGGATTGCAAAAGCAAAAAAATATATAGGGAAAGTGTCTCACATTAAACACCACACACACACACACACACACACACACACACACACACACACACACACCTTTCCCCAAATCTTCATTTAGTTTTGCAATTAAGAATGTTATTTGCAAGAAGATAATAAAACAAACAGTTCATGCTATAGAAGAAAACTAAGCACACCTTGAAAGTAAGTATCTTCTTAAGGCAGATAGATACTTTATCTAACCTAAGCATGGTTCATGAAGCAAAAATTAGAATAAATACAGCSCCTGCCCATTCACATAGCTTCCAGCTAGAGCAGAAATGAAATACTAACCGGGTGGTTCATGTTACCTTACAAGTTGCATTAAAATTCAGGGATCTCACTAAGGTTCAATTTCTCTTTCACTGAAAGAAACATTTGCTCCCTAAAGTAACATATATCTGGCCAACAATCAAGCTTCCATGCTGAAAACCAAGCAGCAGCGTTTTGTGTTAAAAGAAACTCAGTCTAAGGGGATCTAATAAGGACCTCTACTTTCCCTCCCTCTTTCCCGATAGTCACCTTATACCAGCCTCATGCACATACGACATTCCTTCCAAAATGTAACTTATCTTTAAAGCCCCACATTCAGTATTCTTTACATCTCCATGCTTCTCATAAGCATTGGGTATCTTTGCCTACTGTGAAGTCTCTTTCAGAGAAAAGAAGAAACTAGATACAGAAAAGTTACTTGAAATGCTCAGAATGACCTGACAACTTTGCCTCAAGCTGCAATCAGATTCCAGGCTCCACAATTTCCTTTCTTCTTTTCAAGTTCTAAGGCTGTGATGGTTCACTAATTATGAGAAAGATTTCTGAACAGCGCTGAATGGGACAAATTAATATTTCACTGAAGTTTGAGATTTACATAGATTTTTTAGGCACAAAAAAAACCTCAAAAAGAACATGAAATCCTATGAGCTTAAAATATAAAAAGGTGAAATACAGGAAACAAAATAAAATAAAGAGCCATCAGCGTGGGTCCTGATTCTATGACAGTGTTACTCAAAGACAGCCAAGAAGTATAAAACGAGTCAAGTCTACTTTAAAGGCCTGGGAAGAAAATATTGACTTAGGATACATTTTAATTTAAATTTGGAAGTCTGTGGAAATGAAACCCTAAGAGAATTGGCATCCAGCTCTGACATACTTCACTAGGGAAAGTGACCCCAAGAGTCTTCCCTCTAAACAGAAGGGAACCCAAAGATCTGTACTCAGCAGGTACAATTAAAGTGATTCAAATGAAATGATAAATGTGTAGCTTTGAGCCACAAGATAGAAAAGTTGGTCCTACTAGAAATGTTTACTCAACCTCAACAATACCTTGACAGCAGGATGTTGCAATTCTGAGCCCTCCGACCATCAATCACTGAAAGCTCTTTGACTTTCATTTTGGAACTCAGTGTGTCATCGGTGGCATCTGTTTCTTTCTATAAAGAGCACAAAAGAAATCCATCAAAGTCAGTGACTTTCAGACACCAGACTTCACATTTTGTGTACACACGCGTGTGCACGAGTGCGCGCGCATACACACACACACACACACACACACACACTATACACTATACACACATACACAGATGGACGAGACTGAGATGGTGAGGTGGGGAGTGTAGGGAGGTGGTGGCATTGAAACAAAGGCTACAATCTAGTTAGTTGGAAAAGAGAAATAAGAAAAGCTGACCACCCACATTTGAAAAAGCATTATCTGGAAGAACAGAGCTTCCAAGTTGAAGATGCTAAGCGTGCATAAATTATCAATGAGTGATGCCCTCCTTTTGTCCCCCAAATCCCCACAGACAGCAGACAGAAGAACTGTCATTATGAATCAAGCTCAGCTGAGGCTTGCCATTGCTGGTCCCACCAATTGCAGGGTCCATTCACCCCAGAACCATTTGCATCTTGAGCACTTCAAAAAGCTGAACAATAAACCCTCCCAAACTTCTTCATGTGCAACAGGAAGCTCCCAAGGCCAGATGGCACCTTTCATTACACTGGAAGCTTGATGGACAGTGGGGAGGGGGCAGCTCAAGACATGAGCTCAGTTACCTGAATTAACAATTAAACACTACTTCAGATTCTAGGCTGTACTAAGCAGTGAGGGCCAGTCGCAATTATGGTGGAATAGGCAAAAATCAATTATATATAAAAAGCAATTTGATTAAACTGCACATCAGAGGTTTAGATAATAACAAAAGGTTCAAGGTGAAGAAAACACGGACCAGTTTGATAAATAGCAAATTTGGTATTATTAGCAGTCAAGACCAATTAAAAATGGATTATGGTGTTTTAAAAATGTAAGGAAACCAAAGAGCTCTGGAACTGTATAACAGTTCAGGAAATAAAGGCAATATAGAATCTATAATATGAATCAACTTGAGACCCAAAGCCAGTGTCTCTTGTGGTGAGGCTTCAGGCATACCTCCAGATATTAAAGTAAGAATTGAAACCCAATGTGGAACTACCTAGACATTGCATTATACTCTCTAAACAACAAAACAGGATCACTGAGAAGTTTTGAGTTTATAGTGAGCCAAGAAGTTATATTAAGCAAGGTTTAGGTAGTAGCTCACTTACCTGCTTGGAGTTACTGTTCACAAAGAAATCCTACAGCCATGGCAGAGGCATGGAAAAGGCAAATCAGATACATGCAATTCAGAAATCACAGCAACAAACAGGGGAAAGTCAAAGCAGTCAAGGAAATTGGTGGTGCAGGGTAAAAGATGATCAGTGTTCCTTCGATCGCCAATGAGAGATGATGATTGTGAGAGTCTGGCTGAAGATATAGTGAGGAGCACAGCACAAAGCACTGGGGTAGAGGAAGATGACTACATGTGTTGCACACAATTGCCAATGTTGGTAAATGAAATTTAAAATGGAAAAGGACTTAGAATACTCCAAAGGGATTCAAGCTGCATAAGGAACAAATTCTCTTAGACTGGGCTCCATTCACTTAACACATAAATTTTTACTTGAGTCACCTTTCCATTGTTCAGTACCACCAGAAAAATATTATTTTGGGGTTGAATGTGGGAATAATCTACTGTCTTCTTATATCATAAGTGAGGATTAAGAAGAGACAAGTTGAACAACCTAAGTCGGTGATATTAACCCTCAGTATCCCTAAGAGGGTCTGAACAATGCCTGAAGGTATAAGGGGTCTGCACGAGGAAAAGGAACATGCAATCCAGAGGCAAGCAGTGGTTCACAGGGTGTGCAGCAATGGTGGCCCATCCCGACTGCCCCAGGGCTGTTCAAGTACCCTGGGGTAATAGCCTCATCTTGAAATAGTATTTAGAAAAGACTTGGAGTGAAGAAGGGAAAGAAGAAGAGGTAATTGACATGTTATGAGAAAGTGACAGTTTTTTCATCGCATACTTTTGCAAGGCTGGAATGAATAAAGCTTTGGTGTGCAAAACACACCCCAGCTTTTGGGTGAACAGCTTGCACAACCAGCATTTGCTCAGCAGATTCCTAAAGGTCTCACTGGTCTTGGCAGCACTGCCAAGGCCAATTTTACACAGATGAGCCGTTCACATAATTCTTCTAGTGGGAAACAGAGTGTGTCTTCTTCCCCTTGCTTTACCCATACAAGGAGGACTGTTTTGCTAGAAAGGCATTTACAAAATAAGTTGATAACCACAAGAAATATTTTTTCTCCTCTGATAGCCCAGATTTCTTTTGTCCCTATTATAACTGCCAAGATTTCTACTCAGAAGCTCCTTAGGACTCTTCTGTGAAAGTAGTTTCCTTTCAAGGGCAGAAAGACTATGGTGAAATGAACCCCATGAGGTCATCTTAAGCCTTCTTTTTTTTTTTTTTTTTTTCCTACCCTCTTTCTTAAAGAGATAGTTGCTACTTGAACTTGGATCTTGCTCCATCTGGCCATCAAAGATGAAATTTATGAAGTTCTCTGGCCAGGTATCCTATATCTTCTGATCCCATTTATCAGGAAATTGGGACTTCTGACCTCTGGCGTACTAGTCTATAGAATCAGGCAGCTGTCATTTATTGGTTGTGTGACTTGGGGCTCAGTTTATCTGTAAAATGGGGTCAACAGCTAGAATATTAAATGTGAGGATGCAGGTCAAGCATCACTCACAGTACCTCACGGTCATTTATGAGCTCAATACTAGGAAGGTATCATGTGACATTATTTTATTGTTCAAATTGACAATCAARTTCATGTTTTGGCTCTTTGTTCTTTCAGCTAAGCTGCAGAAAGGCTGTCAAGATTTTCCTTTGTTACCACCAGCAGTACTAAGTATGACTGTTAATACCTATGTCACACATCTTATCTTTCCAGAGGTGAGGATAAAGAATGCCATGGGAGGATTTGGTTAATTGCTAGCCTAAAGAGTACACTTCTTTAAAAAAAAATACATATATATATATATATATATATATATATATAAAATCAATGGACCTTTAATTAATTAATTAATTAATTAATTAATATGTGGTGCTGAGAATTAAACTCAGTCCCTCATACATGCCAGGCAACCGCTGTACCAGGGAGCCATAATCCCAGCCCAAGATTACACTTCCTTAAAGGTCTGTTAATTAATATATTATGATTAAAAATCACAAACCTTGTGAGTTTCATTACAAGGGGCATGTTAGAAATAAAGATGCTTCCAGGCCTATTTGAAAGAGTAAGTTAACATTCTTTTTGGAACCTTAAATTATTCACWCAAAAATCAGAAGGGAATATAAAAAGATACTTCTAATTGGCTTTGGTCAAATATGATAGGATCGCCTATATTTGGCTCTAACAGGATGTCTGATTTTTCTGGATGATATGGTGAAGTGCTTAGGGCTTGGAATATAAATAGAAAGTTGGCACTTGCATTTTCAGGAACCACTGATGATAGAGTGCTCTAAATAGGAATCCACAAAGAAGAAATGACCTAATACTTCATAGATAATGACGATCCTTATAGGAACAATTCTCAATCTTCATGAGGTTGAAATATCTTGGTAAAATCTGATTAAAGGTGGGAATTTCTCTACAGAAAAAAATGCATCTACTAATACTTATATAAAAATCTGATTCTGATTAATCCTTACCATGAAGCCCAGTTATAGAACCTTTAACCTTACATCCAGACTGAAAAAAAAAACAAAGAAACCCACTATTCACAATTTTCTTTTTTGTCTTCATATGCCAAGGGTAAGGGTCAAGGTTGCTGAAAGAAATATATTAAATCATATCATTCTTAATGTGCAAATTAGAGGTACAGAATAATGAAAACTATAAAAGGAAAAAAACTTTGAACATTTATGAAAAGTCAGAAGAAGATATTACTCATGTTTCACATGGGACTCAAAAATGACTTATATATTACAAATTAGAAGTAAAGGTCAGATTTAGTAAATAAGAGATAACTACTGTCCAGTAAAGACTGGACACTAGTTATCTCTTGTTCCCTAAATCAGAGCACAGAGGATTTGAAATGTTATTATCACGTACTGATAACAGGATCTTAAATGAAGGGCTATCCTTGGGCAAAGAGTGGGAGGAAGAGAGCCAGAGTGTTAATATGTTGCTATAGAGCCATGATTCTCTTCCATTCATTCTCCTTCTGTTCAACTGCACAGATAAGGAGAAATGAGTTTACAGCATGTCAGGAGGAAATTTTCCCATAAAACAGACATGAATACTGTTAATTGTATCTGAAATAATACTACTAAGCAACATGCTACACTATGTACTAAGTCTCTTGTGGCTGACTTGGAAATCAGTATTGATGTAGTTTCAGTGAGGAAAAAGAAGTCCTGAGATTCAAGAAATTGACTTTCAAATGACGTTTTGGAATGTGAGCAGGGAAATAACGGCATGCTTTTAAATTCCATTTCAAGTGCACATAAGCTTACACAATCAGCTCTGCACACCTTTGATAAATGCACTGGAAAAAAAATCTGAATAGGAGTGATCTTGTTTTTAAAACTAGAGTTAAAGAAAATCCTCTACAAAGTCTGGTATTCATAATGAATAAAACCATGAATTAAGAACAAAGTGAAACTGAGAACTATGCCACTTTGTAGTCTTGATTATGCTACCTGTTGGGGCACTGAATACATACTAAACCAAATTTTCAGTATCTGTAATATAGGAATAATATCCTCCTCATGGAGTTAAGGGTAAGTATTTAATAAGAAAATAAGCAAAGAACTCCTAGAGAGTTAAATTTTAGGGTTGATAACATTGAGAACTATGTTTATAATACTCAGCATCAGAAATGTAATGGATACTTAATACTGATTATCATCTTTTAGTTCACATTATGGTTATTAACAGATTTTCTCGCCTCTGCTTTTATACTGTATGTTGTACTGTGGAACTCTGCAAAAGTTGAACACATTTTAATCTTACAAAATAGATAATATAAATGCTTGATTTTAATTATATTTCTCAAATCAACCAGATGTTTTATATACATGTGTTTTATATGCGATGTTTTATACATATATACGTTTACACATACAAGCACATGTATGTGTAAATGTGTATCTATATTTATATAGGTATACATGTGTAATATAGACACGTATGTATATACTTCCTAAGCGTTATTCCTCATTCAACTAAATAAACTAACCTGATATTGCTGAGATTTCTCAAATTCATACTCTGTGCAGGGTCCTATTGCATGCATGCAGGTAATGATATTCATGTCTTCCTCTGCCTCTCTGAAATATTTATCTAGCTAAACAACTGGATGTGGTCCAGAGAGTTTGACCAGGGTTTCATAACTCAGCAGGGAGGAAAGAGGAGACACCATGGAAAAAAATAGGTTTCCAGTGTTCATTTGGGGATAGAAAAGAGAGCAATTCAAATGTGGTGATAATTATATAATGTACTGCCAAGACTGAAATGAAAATGCATAGTTCTTTGATGTTGCCATCGTGAGATCAGGGGACATTCAATGACAGGAACTTTGTTTCTTTTACTCTGTACTACATATTCCAACTAGAATCTGTATCTTTTGATTTTTCTGGCTCTCAACATTTAGTAAATCCAATAAAACGGCTTAAATTACCCTCATTTGGAAAATATACTTATGGTTTAAAAATTCTCATCTCTCGTTCTTATGTCAAAAGGTGTTGAAATTTTTCTTCAGGAAATGCTGCTGAAAATCTGGTCACAACTAATTCTACTTACCAATCTACTTAGTGTTAAGTACAACTAACATGTTCTGGTCTATCCTGATTGGAACAGCTACTGATTACTTAAACAGTGTTGGTTGCTAGGAGACAATTACCCAATTGCAGGGCTTTCTGCAATCCTGTCTCCCAGAGCTCTTGAGAATTGTCCACATATTTGTCCCAGAGCTTTTTGGCAGCATCTTCCTGCATCTTCTGCTGAAAGCCAGTTAATTATGAGTCTTATAACCTTGGGTCTTTCAACCACCTGCCTTCATAATAAATGCAACCCACATGCCCAGACTTGAACAGCATCATTTGGGATACTGCTGCTTTCCCGTCCTTTAAAATACTTCTCTAAGTTCCCAAGTCTTCATTTTAGGCAACCAGCGTGGACCAGCATTAGYAAGTAAAACTCATGTGGAAAAGCAATGGGATATGTAATCAGGTCAAAGGATCATTTGAATTACTAGGAAATTTGCTAAAATGTCCTATGACTTCATGACAAGGCCCAGGGGATACCCTTCCTGGGACAGGAGACTGGGGCACTGAGAGGGAGAAAGCATGTGGCAGCCAATCAGCCAATCYGTCTGATGGGCTCAGAGCAGCTGCAGGATGACTTTAGACATACTCTTTGTTCTTTCAAAGCTAAGCTCTCTTGCTTTTTACTGGATAATGCTTTACCTTTGTTTTCTTCATTTTCCTTTATTTGGTGTGGAATATATTGTACAAGTTGCCTTCTTACTTATGGAGGGGCTCAGCTGAAGATTCTTGTTTTAGGGTTTATGTCATTATGGCAGGTATTATTTCAAACTTTATTAAACTAGCCCAACAGTTGCTTGTCCTCTCTTTGAGCAAAATATTCTGGCTAAATATCCTCCCCGGCCCCCCACCCCCGGCCCCCTGAAACTCCCCATTTCAGATGCATTAAAGACCACTTGAAATAATAATGAAAAAAAATCTTTAGCTTTTGTTTCTCCCCTAGCTTCAGTCCATCTTTTCCCTTGGTGCTTAGTATTTTTCAGAGACATTCTTTCTTGGGAACCAAGCCAAGTAAGCCAACTAGGAAGTCTATTGCTTGCCTGAGGGTACTCCACCCTGGGCATGATTCATGCAGGAGTGCAGGAGTGCAGGGCCTTCTGTAGCAGCCCAAGGAAAGCCCCAGTGGGGGTGCGTATTGTGGGCTCCCTTCACCATTCCTCTCCTTCAGCCAGSCTCTTTCTCCTCACACTCCTGACTTAGTTTTCCCTTCACAGGGATTTGTTCAACTGTTTGAACTCCACCTTTCTTTTGTTCTTCTGGAACTATCCATACACTGTGGTCTCTTCTTGTCTACCTTCAGAACTCTACTAATAGGACCTCTGGAGGAGCAAGAGGTACCATTTGGATGTGCCTAGGGCTTACCCAGAGATGATGCCTGCTGGGTCTTGCCAATGTAAATAGCTGGCAAGCACCAAGTCACGTGTTCCTGCTGCCATTGCATAAGCTTTGCTCACTTTTCAGTAGCTTCTCTGGTGCTGTTTGGGTCACTGCCATCTCCACACTTGCTCAGCTTCTGCAAGCCCCCCTCCTAGCCTATCAAGTCCATGACGTATAGTAAAAAACTTTTCTGCAGGTTCTAGTTAGCGGCCAAATTATAGTATTTACCAATGCCCGTGCTTCTAAAGCATCCACCTATTTCAGAAAGCATTTTGCTTCTGAGAGTATTCATTTGATATGTTCTTTTTAAAAACTCAGTAAACCAAAATGGCTTCAGAAACAAATACTGTGAGGTGACAATATAGGTCACATATCTCCCTATTTTTTCCTAGCAATCCATTTTGACTACACACAGTGACAATAAAATACAGACCTCTTTACACCAATGGAGACAAGGTCTTGGACACATACCGCGATACATAGAGCTCATATACCTTCAACTGTTYACACACACACACCGACAGGCACCTGAACGCATATGGGGACACACACACTGTGTTGCTTTGCAGGAACAGAGCAGCGCAGACCATGCGGCACAGAACTAAGATGCTTATCAGATCACAGTTATGGCAGATGGCCTGGGGATCATGCACAAGGATGTGATTATTTTACTTTTTTTGGCATCTGGAGGGCACATGCTGTTACCTGCTGTCTTTGATAGGCAGAGAAAGTTCTTTCCAGGTCTTCGAGATCTAGAATCTTGAAGACTTTTGTGTCATCAATTTCGGTCCATACCGTTCCTTCCAGTTTGTTCTAGAAACATCAAGTGAATAAGTTTCTCTGGTTTTTAGTTGTATACATAAAGAACAGACATGGTTATTTCTAGAAAAAGTGCTGCTATCCCCAATTTTTCWTTCTACACAACACTCAAACAACTTGTCAAAATTTCAGAAGCTTTACCACTTAAATATCTGAGCGAGTCCACACAGGAAAATGAAGTCCTTTAGCAGTCAGGGCTGTTTCTTTCTTTCAGTGAAGACACAGAGTGGCTAAGGCTAATCTACTAGCAGCAACGTGGGAACCAATGGCTCACCTCAGGCAGCTTCAACCAGTTGAAGGACTTCAGGGCATTTGTAGGCTGAGGAATGTTTTTCTTCTTGAGTGCCAGTCCCATTGGCGCACCAGGAGGTGGCAAGACTCCCCCTAAAGGAGGTGGCCCTGGGGGAGGGGGAGGGCCTCCTGGGGGGAGGGGAGGTGGTGGAGGAGGTAGCACTCCAGGCAGGGGTGGGGGTGGTGGGGGAGGAAGGAGGGACCCAGGCACTGAGGAAGGAAAGGGCCCCCCTGGTGCTCCAGGCGAGGGTCCTCCTGGGACTGAAGCACAGACGGCCCTCTGAAAAGATACAAGGAGGAAAAGAGGAAATCAATGGAAGAAAGAAGTTCACTGGATGATTTTGAGAATCTGAAACTTGGCCTTAAGTAGGTACCATAGAGAAATCTCACACTCGTGAGAACAGGGGTTTAAAGGCCTGGTGAGTTTGGGGCTTTATGGACTCAGTTGAGTCACCCTTTGTATTTGACACTTGAGAGCTTACCTACGGAGCATGCATAGCTCTCTCACCTTTCGTATCATCATACAATTTGGTTTTCATGAAATTGGTTTTCACAGTAAAAGCTAATATGATTTCCTTTGCTTTTTTGTACAGAGCTAGTACTAAAAACATGCCCCACCCCCAACCTCTGCTACCAATACGAGATTACAGAGGGAGCGGGTCTCAAAGCTACTGTGATCAACCGTGAGACATCTCAGATCTATGTAAATTGCCTATGTAAGGTTGCTGGGATCCAGGATAAGGAAGGCTTTGGCAGATGCCCGAGAACGCAAGACACCTGTGGCCCTCACCCTGCTGAGCTCATGGAGCTGTGCTGTGAGGTCCGCCACCTGCTGCTTGACTTGCTTATGCTCAGTAGTCTCCTTTTCAAGTTTCTCTTTCATTTTATTTAAGGTCTGCATCATTTCTTCCTTCTCTTGGGTCTTAGCATCACATTCTCTCTCTTTCTTTTCCAATTTCTGTTGCAGTTCATTGTGCTCTACGCATAAAAAAAAACAATTGAATATGAAAATGGGAGGTTCTTCAAGACAAAAAAAAGCTTTTTTACAAAGAAAACCAACTCTTCTTCAGCTTGGTACCATTCCTTCTCCCCACCAAAGGGAGACTCCCAGGCTAACATTGATTGCTCATGCTTGAAAGGCTTCAGATGAACAACTCCACAAACTACATTGTTAACCCAAGTAGAGACCCTGAGGCCATAATTCTAAAAATGAAACAAAGTTTGAGTAACTACTTGTGGAGGAGAATGTTGGGTAGCTAATTCAAAATCTTGTTACAGAAATGGCCCCTTAGCCAAACTAGGAAAAAAACCAATGTTAAAAGGGCCTCTTCTGCAAATTAGAAATGGGACAGGGAGAAGTCCAGTTCTGATGAGTGAGGATTGCTGTCTCTGTCCCACTGGTGGAAGGGCTGAAAGGGAGGTTCTGACATGGTTAGAAGCTGCTGCAGACCACGTCATCAGCGTGACACCAACTTGTTTCTCCCATTCCCTTCTCAGAACGCCATCTGAAGTATTTTATGCTTCCAGCAAGCTATTAAAACTCAGGAAAGCAAATGTTATCATCTCAGTGTCAAATATCTTAAGGGCAGGAGTGTAGGTTGAGCATGAAAATCACTAATGTGGGGAGAAAAATATTAGCTCTCAGCTGTGGTTTCCTGCTTCCCTAGTCCTGCTCTAATGGAACAGGGCACCCGATTTAGCAGGACACTTATTCACACTGCCAGCGAATACGTGCTTGCTGACAAGAGTGATGAGCTTTGGAAAAGAGAAAGAATTAAGTTTAGGCTGAAGATTTTTATTTCAAATACTTGGCCCAAATTCCTATTCTTTTTATATCAATAAATCCACTAGAGATATAACCCACTGAGGCTAAGTTATACAAAGCTGGTCTCTATTTTTTGAGTTTGATAACACATTTAAATTCTTGTTTGTCTCTTGTCCCTGACCTTCTCTTTTCATGTCCCTCAGAATTGCGATTTGCAGGGAGAGGCATGAACCATTAAAATGCTTGGGTTTTGGCAGCCTTGGAGTTAACCACTGACCTACTTCTACCACTCTGTGGATGCATCTCTGACCTCCTTGGATCTGCATCTAAAAACTACCTCACCGTATCCCCTTTTCCTTTTTCTGTCATCATGTCATTTCTCATTGAAAACAACAAGCCGAGGGATTAGCGTTCTTCTCGCAGGAATGCCACTGACAAATCCTGCTGCCTCAGAATCCTAAGAGGTCTTGACATTCCAGTACCTTCCTGACCCCACACGAAGTAGGCTATTCTGTAGGTTGGAGCAGGGCTTAGGAGACTGTGGTTTCCAAATGCTCCTTAGATGATCCTAGTGTAACGCCAGGTGTGGGAAGCTCCAGTCTAAAGACACGCCCATACATAGTCCACATTGACTATATATCTGCTAAGCTTTCATTGAGTACTTCCTGGGCAGGCTCTCCACCAAAGACAATTTTCCTCCAAACATTCTCCACCTTTCAGGTCCATGGAACTTTCTGCTCTACACAGCCTCTGCCTCCTCACTAATTTGTCAACATGTGCCCTTTTGAATCTAACTTTGCTTTCCTGAAGCCCAAGAAAAGGATTGAAGATCAAATCTTCAATCTTTCCTCTTTTATACTATACCCATGACTTCACTTTAAACTAGTCCGTTCCTCCCCCTGACCTTGGGGATTTTCTCCTCTACCACTCAGCCACCTGCATCTTRTAATAACGGCTGTCATTTATTGTGCCAGATACCATGCTAATGTTCTATTTGTTTTGACACTTGATCTTCACAACATCCCTGTGAGTTAGGTTTAATCTTCACACTGCAGAAGGGGAGGCTGGAGGGGAAGAGAGGACATGACTTATCCTGTTCAGGGAATCAGGGAAGGCGGAGTTATTATGGTGCAAACACTTATGTCCCAAGTGCTCTCCCCAGCTGTGAGTCTCCATGCTCTGGGGTGGAATAGTATTCCCCAAACACCCCACTAGTGGATCATTTTCTCCTTGGTTTCATCTCCCTTTACCCTAACTTTTAGTCAATGTTYCTATTCTTTCCACAGCAGTTCCTGAAATTTAGTTGTAAAAATGCATGCAGAGCCTCAATTATTAGAGATCAGCATAGATACATATGGGAACTAGTTAACAGAACAGGACTTCACATTTGGTATTTTCCTGTATCAGCGGTGCTTTTGTGCTCGACGGCAARGGATAAATGTGATGAGAGGAAAGGAAATGCTCAGCCATCTCCTGGACATTCTTTTCAGAGCATTAACTAATGGGGTGAGTGCTACTGCATTTCATTGGCTGTGACTGTGTAACTTGGACAAGGAAAAGGAAGTCAGCTGACCAGTATGGTGAAAGAGCRGCGGCTGGGATTAGGGCTGTTCTCACAAAGCGGCCAATTTTAATTTGCTAATATTCTGAAGGAGGTAGGAAAGCTATCCATTTCTGTGAGTGGCTGGCACCATGAGGAACACAAGGGGGATAATATCAAAGACTTATTCAAATACTAACAACCGGCCTGTTGTAGTTTTATAACACATATCTTTACAATTGTCATTGATTTTCTGCATGATTTCTCTTTTTATGATGGGTGCCAAATTCAGGTCATGGAGAGAATTGGGATGCTGAGACCCAGTGGGTTATGCTGGGTTATGCTTCTCTTTTAAAGTTCTGGGCAAAATTTCAAAATTCTAGAGTCCCTTATTCTATTTCTTAAGACCTGAAGTACTTAAAGAGCAGCTATGGGGCAGAAGAAGGGTCTGGATGATTGGTAGTTAAGAACATTTGAATTAACAAATACTGAGCAGCATATGTTACAAACTCTTCAAAAAATTTATGTGATTATAAGCCAAAGAATAAAATATTTGAGAATCAGCATGACAATTAAAATTGCTTGGTTCAAAAAAAAAGCCTGTGCAAAAACCCCTCAAGACATGGAAAAAGAAAGGTTCCTTAATGTTCGTAAGTCAACAGGAAACGTCAGTAAAAAGATAGGAACGACACATCCCCTGCTCTTGTCAGGGTCACCCAACAATCAGTAACGCCASGTCTTCTTTTGTGAGGGCCTCACCGCTTACCTTTTCTCATTTTTTCTGCTTGTTCTTTCCACTGCTTAACTTCATTTTCATTAACCAACCTGTATAAGTTAAACRAGTACTCATTACAAAAGACGTGAAAGATTGACTGCTAAATGCATTCTCCCTGGGTACAAAAATAGTCTACTGCAGAGAAAATCCTCAGTACATGCTCGAAACCCATTTAAACCCAGATGTTGCTTACAAATATTGCATGTATTTATAGAGTGACTTTATATTTGATCCTAGGATAAAATATATGTCTTATATTATCATCATTATGTCACAGGCAGTGGAATAAGAAGAGACTCACATTCGTACGACATTCTTAATATTAAAGTTTTCCAGAGGTGTGGAGTCGGGGTCCTGTCCTTTGTCATTTTGGATTACTATCTGCTGTATGATTCTGTCCAGCAGTAGCCAGTACTGAACAGTGTTACCACTCCTCTTGTCTAAAAAGGAAAAGAATGGTGGATGAAATTGTCAAGTTGTTTGTAAACTAAGATGAGTATTTCCCAACAATGGTTCCGCTTTAAAGCCACAGATCCAAAGAGATGTTTATATCATCTGCACCAACATTTCCCCAAATGCTGGAATTTTGACATCTAATGACTATTTATTCGAATGAGAGGTATTTTCTACCCCTTTCTAAGTCTGTTGTAAAGCTTATATTTATTTTCAAAGTCAAAGTAAATTATAAATTCATTTCATTCTGTGAATTCCACTGTATCCCTTAAGCTGTGGGGGGAAAGACATGGTCTGTCACGAAATGGAGTTCTGTAATCGCTGGTGTACACGCCCCAGCCCCGTGAGCACCAATCAGAAGACAGAGCCCAGTGGGCAGTGTCTCATCGCTTGAACCCCCAGGGAATCGAACACTTACAAGGCATCTGGAGGCAGTGGTGAAGGATGGACATGAAGTGAGGGTAAGCTTCACTGTGAGTCAGCCTCTTCCTGGTCAGCTCAAACATCTGAGTTGCACTTTTTGTGTCTATGTGAACCTATTTTACAGGAAAAACAAATCGAAGTCAAACACCCAAGTTCTTCAATTCTCCCAATGCAAGATAAGTAAGTCCGAGGCAAATACAAACTAATTCTGTGTCTTAGGTTAAAAAAAAAAAAATAATAGAGCTTAGAATTTGTTCACAGGTTACACTGACCCATGCCAATGCTACAACACCCTTTTCAAGGAGAAATTCTGTGAGCTGGTGAGTTAAACCAGAATAATTACAAGTATACACACCAGTTCAAATCTTTTGGCAAATTCTAGTTCATCTTCATTTCGGAGCATTTCGAAAAAGTCTAAATGCCTGAAAGATAATTAAAGAAAAGTTATTAAAAGCAGAACATGCTACGAACCCAAGTACATAGGATTCAGGACATTAACAATAAGGCCTTTCCTAAATTTTCAGAGATATCACCAAAAGATATATAGTAATAATACTTGAATGACTTCACTTAATTTTGTTATAAGGGAAAAATAGATTAAGATCAAAATAAAGTAAAAATTTAGAAACCTACAGTGCATAGCACATACTAGACAATTATTAAATTAATATATATCAAATCTAAAAATAATCAAGTTCAGATTCCACTCATGGAGTCCCTTTGTGGAAAAATAAGCCCATCTACCCATACTTGACTTGCTATTGAACTGAAGATCACAAAAGAGATATTCATGTCATTCATTGTTTATGCAAATATTTATTAACCCCTACTACCACATATTCTGTGCACTGGGGTTGATACAGTCTATGTAGACAAATACATCCGGGTCAAGGGAATAGAAAATAAAGGGAAGTGAAGTAAATATATATGGTGGCTCGAAAAGGTCTTTCTGCAGGGAACAAGGGAACAGGTAACCTCTGGACAGCTATGAAAGATTTTTTGAAGCTGACAAAATAGTATGTACACAGGTCCTGAGGCAAGAGCTTTACTGACATATTTACAGAATATCAAGAAGAGCATGTTGCAGCGAATGATTGAAGAAGGGCACTAGAAGGAAAGATCTGAGAGGTAATGGGGCCATCTTAGAAATGATAAAATGACTGAAAACAAGAACAAAAGGACAAGAAGTGAAAGGTGACATTCACAGAATGCCAATCAAGGGTACTAAGTGAGACCATAAGTTTTATAGTCAATTGTAGCAACAAACAAGATAGTTGTCATTATTGTCATCACTACGGTCACCAATTTTTGTAAGTACAAAATCCCTAAAGTTCAGAAAAAATGAATGACTTGACCTGGATAGATAGGAAGGACAAGGCAACCCAAGGATAGGATATAGATTAAGGTCTAAAGCCAAAACYCACTTCAAGTTCTCTGCCCAACAGGCTGCTTCTTTCAAAGATGAAGTCTTGGGATAAAAACATCATTAGCGGAACCGACACCCTGGTGTGAGCTCCTCGTGACACAGGCTSCCATTCAATATGGTACCACACCCACGGAAGAAGCATAAACTATCTCAGATCAGAACAGGCTCACTTACCTATCTAATGTTGAATTTTCATGTTCCCTTAATTTATCTATTACAGGTTGAATTCCTAACATCAGAAATTCATAGCGAAGATGAAGTCTAAAGTCCAAACTCTCCTGAAAGTAAAAGGGTGATAAAACATATATTTGTGCTTTTTAGACTTGATAGAATTTATTTTAAAATTATTCTTTATATTTTTAAAATCACGATATGGAAGGTTCTTACCACTCCTGCGCCTTGGCTTAGCACTGCGTTAATGAAGGACATGATGGCAGTCTTGAGACTCACTTCATCCCGATACCGCCCGGTGCTTTTATCCAAGTCATTAATTAAGGTCTATCAAGGATACAGATACAGAAACAAAGGACTGAATCATTACTAACCTTGTGCTCATTTTGCAAAATTTTGTATGCGCATAAGTTAATTTTTAAAATCTTGTGTTTAGTCAGAATTCCATTGATCCATAGAAAGCTACCTTTTTTTTTCCTTTCACACCAGTCCTAAAAATTATACTTTAAAAAAAAAYTTACAGCATGCATGTTCATATATACAAGTATGAAAGACTTGGTTACCTCAGSTTGATTTGTACATTTGAGTAAAAAAGTTGACATAATCTCACTTTTCATCTCAATCCTAAATCAAGAATGGCAATCTGTAGAATTTTCAGTAGAATTTCACTGAGTGGATACAGAAGATGTGTTGCAGGCCTGCATTTTAAATCTAAAATCTCAGATTGGTTGACTATAGAAAGTATATACTATTTTCTGGTCCTTAGACCCAGAAGAAGGGAAGTTACAGTGTGAGTAGTCACTTTCTGGAGGGAATCTCAAGTCGTGTGTTCCCCCTTCAGGGTTGGAAAAGGCACCTATCTGTGCAGTTAAGGATGGGGTAAGAGAAGAAGGGGAGGGAGCCCCCACCTGAAAGCGGGTCCTCTCGCTGGCATACTTCTGGTAGTGCAGCATGGCCTGTAGAACCTTCTTRTGGCCCCCAGGAACCAGGCACACGGCGCCCAAGATTTCCAGCACGGCCACCTTTGTCTTAATGTTCTCTGTGCTCAGACTCTGAGCAATTACATTAATACTCTCAGAGTGAGCCAGGACGTGAGCCCGACCTTGAGAGTTGTTCATTAGTGCCTTTATACATCCAATGAGAGAGGTATGTATTCGAGACTCAGAGGTCTCATAGTCCATGGTCTTTAGAAAGTTGAGAATACATGACAAGCCATCCAAGTCGATGAATCTGGTTACAAACCTGTCATGAAGAGAAGCGCATCAGACTTAAGTCTCTTGGGGATTTTGCAATAGCCCTTAGCAGACAACCTTTGGAGGACAGGGGAAAGAAAGAAGACTCAGTTCCAAAAGTTCCAAAGGCCTCTTGATGGGGGCTTCTCAATCCTGCTTCTTATGATCTAGCCAGAATCAGGAAAAAAAAAAAATTCTCTATTTGAGGTAAATACATCTCAGCTGGTACAAAGAACCATATTTGAGTAAATGAGCAAAAGGACACTCAAAATATATATCTTGTCTTAGGTTAAAATCATCTGCTGATCTGAGTTATTGTAGCATCCAGGTCCCATGCACTTCTATGTGCTGACTGCTGACCCTGGTAGACTGTAAGAAAAGTCAGAGGGTGTCCTTCAACTCCAGGACATTTGCTTATCAAACGAATAACTATTTACAGCCCCAGGAGGTTTTGAAACAATACCCTTATTTTCCCTACTCTTTTTTTTTTAACTTTTTAAACTTGTTTTAATTAGTTATTTATGACAGTAGAATGCACTTTGATACATCATATATAATGGATTATAATTTGTCATTCTTCTGGTTGTACATGATGCAGAATCACACTGGTCACACAGTTACATGTATACATGGGGTAATAATGTCTGATTCATTCTGCTATCCTTCCTACTCCCATACCTCCTCCCCTCCCTTCACTCCCTTCTACCTAAAGTAATTCCCACAGCCCTGCCTCATTGTGAATTAGCATCTGCATAGCAGAGAAAACATTCAGCTTTTGGGTTTTTTGGGATTGGCTTATTTTGCTTAGCATGATATTTTTAAGCTCCATCCATTTACTGGCAAATGCTATAATTTCATTCTTCTTTAAGGTTCCATCGTGTGTGTGTGTGTGTGTGTGTGTGTGTGTGTGTGTGTATAAATTGGTGTGTGTGTGTGTGTGTATATACACACACACACACACACACACACACATATAACAATTTTTTTTGTCCATTCTTCTGTTGAAGAGAACCTAGGTTGGTTCCATAGTTTA